ATCAGCTGTCACTCGACTGCGAGCGCCTCTCTGATCTTCGGGTCCTCGCTGAACAGAGTCAGGTGTACTCCCTCCATCGCTTCGCTCTCTCGGAAAGCTCGAAATGCTGTATCATTCGCCTCTGGGCAGCTCGAGGAGACGATCCACTCCACCTCCCTCTGTCTCCAGATGACGTTGGCCCCTACAGCGATGAAGCCTTTCTGACCTAAGCCTTTGTGGACTTGCTGTCCTGGCGCCCCAGCGACCAGCATGCCTGCCAGCGGCTGGAGTTGGACCGCTGCAAGGGACTGGCGCAGCAGCTGATAGCGATAGACGGCAGCTATCTCAGCCGTTGTCATGCCGCCCAAGGTTAGCAGGTGAGTCAGCTCTGCCAAGCTGCCCCCTTTGCCCCAGGGTCCTCTCTTGGCTCGAATCTTGAAAGATCTATCGTGCACGATGCTCACATGTACAGCTGTGAACTTGCGACCATCGATCGCGAAGTCCTCTCTTCCCTGCCAGAGCTTCTCCGCTTGTGCATTGCGGAGGAAGGAAACAGTCACCGGGATCTCCTCAGCACTCGCTATCTCGGGTCTATACGGAGCCTTCCACATGATTGCTTTACTCTCTTGCACTGAGTCTACGATCAGTCCGATCTCTTCAAATTTCTTCTTCAGCTTTTCTTCATGGTTGACATACACCGAGGAGATGCCCAGGAGAGTCATGGAGATGAAGGAAGTCACCTCGTTGCCTGCTGAGACGGTGTATGTCTCGACCTTCTCCTTCTTGGCTTCTTCAATCTGCTGCATAAACCACTCTCTGGATGCGTCACTCCATCCAGTCATCGCTTCTTGCAGAAGCTCACGTCGTGCCTGCTGACATGTCGAGCGGATGGCTTCTGCGATAGCGTCGGGGGTGCATCCCTCCACAGCCTTGCAAGCCTGGGCTGTCCTGCTGTTCGGATAACGCTTCGCGAAGCTCTTCACCCTCTCGACGAGATCAGCTTCGAGGACAGAGGCATCCACAAGTCCGCTCTGCGTGTATTGGCATGATCTCCGATACAGCAGGTTGCGAACATTTTCATCATACTGAAGAACCATACTTAGAAAGCTATTTGAAGTATACAAACCTCTCGCTTGCAGCTTCCTTGGCGCCCTGGCAGCTTCCCCTACACCACGCGTGCAGCCATGGTGCCTGAAATAACCGGCCCTAAACCCTAAACCCTAAACCCTAAACCCTAAACCCTAAACCCTAAACCCTAAACCCTAAACCCTAATTATGTGAGTTTATTAGAATGCTAGAATGTTGCTCGGCCTCGTTGTGGGCTTGTGCAATTTGATCCTAGTCTAAAGAGGCGCTCGAGCACTGGGAGTACACGGCCTACAATGCGAACCCTGCTTCTGAGGCGTCTTTCTACTCTCTACTTCTGCTGTCTTCTCTTGGCTTCCTCAGCCTCAGTCAGGAGAGTTGCCTCTCCTCACCTTGGCCTTCGGTCGCCTCCTACCTTCTCTCCTTACCTTGGGCTCAGCTCAAGCTCGGTACGGGCTCGCCCCGTCTTCTTCCTCGCCCTCGCCTTGCTCTTCCTCCATGTCTTCCTCTTCTTCGTCATCTTCCCTCATCTCCACTCGCAGTCGGTCCTTCTTGTCCACCTTCAGCGAGCAGGCCAGCACATGCATCTCTGCGAATTTACTCAGTGCTATGAACAGGAGGCTAAGAGATCGACGCTCTATGTCGTCGCTCTCCGCCTCCTGCTCAAGCTCAGCAGCTGCCGTTGCCCGTGGCGAGAACGCGCTGCCCCTCCTTGCCTTCTTGCTCTCTCCTTGCACGCGAGTCCAGCGCTTGCTCTGCAGCCACTTCCCCAGCTTCTCCTTGAGCGCGTTGCGTCCCACTCCCTGCTCCTCTGGCATCTTCGCCCACTCTCCCAGCGACATGAACTCCAGGCTCCCCGGAGAGTAGAAGGTGTCGTGGAGGTTGCCAACGGCCTTGTCCAGGACCAGCTTGATCGGCTCGCTCGTCCCTGCCTCGTTCAAAGAAGCTGCATCTTCGATGACTGCTGACAGCTCGCTGACGAGCTGCATGTCCTCTTGGCTTGACGGAGATGCTGCCTCCATTGTGATCCTCTCCAGGTCTGTAAACTCCAGCCACTCTCCCTCGCTCTCCTCCTGTCGCTGCGCTGCGTCGCTGGTGCCCCGCTGACCAGCCGCCTCAGAGTCAGGCTCCTTGTCGAAGCCGACTGCTTCGAGCTTGGTTGCTGCGCCTTCGAGATAGAAGGGCAGCTCCTTCATCATGCGTCGAGCATCCTCCGTGGAGCCGAGGAGGATGCATAGCTTGGACCCGTTCCAGGACTTGGTGTTCAAATCCTCCTCCATGTCGATGCCTTCAACGTTGATCTCGAGCCTGTTAGCGATCTCCAACAAGACTCTCTTGACTCTTGCGATAGACGTGTTGCCGCCGTTGCACAGCCCCTCCATCTCCTTCCTCGTGAAGCGACCAGATGCCGCCGTCGACTTGATGATGATCTTGATCTCCTTGCCGTCCTTGCCGCCTGCCTTCTTCTGCATCCTTGATGCCTTCTTCAACTTATTTCTGGACACAAAGCGATCAGCTGTCAACTCGACTGCGAGCGCCTCTCTGATCTTCGGGTCCTCGCTGAACAGAGTCAGGTGTACTCCCTCCATCGCTTCGCTCTCTCGGAAAGCTCGAAATGCTGTATCATTCGCCTCTGGGCAGCTCGAGGAGACGATCCACTCCACCTCCCTCTGTCTCCAGATGACGTTGGCCCCTACAGCGATGAAGCCTTTCTGACCTAAGCCTTTGTGGACTTGCTGTCCTGGCGCCCCAGCGACCAGCATGCCTGCCAGCGGCTGGAGTTGGACCGCTGCAAGGGACTGGCGCAGCAGCTGATAGCGATAGACGGCAGCTATCTCAGCCGTTGTCATGCCGCCCAAGGTTAGCAGGTGAGTCAGCTCTGCCAAGCTGCCCCCTTTGCCCCAGGGTCCTCTCTTGGCTCGAATCTTGAAAGATCGATCGTGCACGATGCTCACATGTACAGCTGTGAACTTGCGACCATCGATCGCGAAGTCCTCTCTTCCCTGCCAGAGCTTCTCCGCTTGTGCATTGCGGAGGAAGGAAACAGTCACCGGGATCTCCTCAGCACTCGCTATCTCGGGTCTATACGGAGCCTTCCACATGATTGCTTTACTCTCTTGCACTGAGTCTACGATCAGTCCGATCTCTTCAAATTTCTTCTTCAGCTTTTCTTCATGGTTGACATACACCGAGGAGATGCCCAGGAGAGTCATGGAGATGAAGGAAGTTACCTCGTTGCCTGCTGAGGCGGTGTATGTCTCGACCTTCTCCTTCTTGGCTTCCTCAATCTGCTGCATAAACCACTCTCTGGATGCGTCACTCCATCCAGTCATCGCTTCTTGCAGAAGCTCACGTCGTGCCTGCTGACATGTCGAGCGGATGGCTTCTGCGATAGCGTCGGGGGTGCATCCCTCCACAGCCTTGCAAGCCTGGGCTGTCCTGCTGTTCGGATAACGCTTCGCGAAGCTCTTCACCCTCTCGACGAGATCAGCTTCGAGGACAGAGGCATCCACAAGTCCGCTCTGCGTGTATTGGCATGATCTCCGATACAGCAGGTTGCGAACATTTTCATCATACTGAAGAACCATACTTAGAAAGCTATTTGAAGTATACAAACCTCTCGCTTGCAGCTTCCTTGGCGCCCTGGCAGCTTCCCCTACACCACGCGTGCAGCCATGGTGCCTGAAATAACCGGCGCTGCCTGAAATAACCGGCGCTGCCTGAAATAACCGGCGCTGCCTGAAATAACCGGCGCTGCCTGAGCTTCCTTGGCGCCCTGGCAGCTTCCCCTACACCACGCGTGCAGCCATGGTGCCTGAAATAACCGGCGCTGCCTGAAATAACCGGCGCTGCCTGAAATAACCGGCGCTGCCTGAAATAACCGGCGCTGCCTGAAATAACCGGCGCTGCCTGAAATAACCGGCGCTGCCTGAAATAACCGGCGCTGCCTGAAATAACCGGCGCTGCCTGAAATAACCGGCGCTGCCTGAAATAACCGGCGCTGCCTGAAATAACCGGCGCTGCCTGAAATAACCGGCGCTGCCTGAAATAACCGGCGCTGCCTGAAATAACCGGCGCTGCCTGAAATAACCGGCGCTGCCTGAAATAACCGGCGCTGCCTGAAATAACCGGCGCTGCCTGAAATAACCGGCGCTGCCTGAAATAACCGGCGCTGCCTGAATAACCGGCGCTGCCTGAAATAACCGGCGCTGCCTGAAATAACCGGCGCTCCTAAACCCTAAACCCTAAACCCTAAACCCTAAACCCTAAATCTTTTGCAAAAGATTTGCAAATGCCTGATATGCATTGGAATAGACGCTATTTCCATCATCGGCATATGAACCGATTGCACAAAGTGCAACACTATTCTGAGTTGGTGTAACACAGCTACTTAAAGAATTCGATCCGGTTCCCGTGGTCACGTTCCCTAACGGACATGAATTACATCCATTGATTGCGATATCTACCCAATTTTGTACATCCGCTGTACCGTATACCTTGTAAACCCATAGATACCTTCCACGCAAGTTACATTCCATACTAACAGCCCAACCGATACCACCGAGGGTGCCAGTTGTACCACAATAATCATTATTCACAATGTTCGCAGTACTTGGATCATTACCTATGTAGACTAAAAGATTAGAATCCCTTGAAAAACAACAATCCGTCCTTCCCCATATCCTTACGTGCTGAATACTTCGCTCCGTAAGCATATCTATGTACCAGTAGGTGGTTGTGGTCTTACACGAACTTGAACCACAATCATAATTCGGTAATGTATAAGCATTGTCAATTGCAAGTCCTGATGTGACTCCGCTGTATGTAGAGGTAGACCAGAATGTTGAACAACTTCCAGTCGCTCCTGTACATGAATCTTCCCATGCTGTCATGATACCACTGGCGGAATAAGTGTTTAGTGGGCACGTAGGCGGTGTGTAACTAATTTGTGAATTAATACCTTGTATAAAAAACATTGTAATAAGAACACGAACACACACAGATTCCGTTCCATAATCCCTCTTGCCATTCCGCGCACTTGTACTTTGCTTGCGCCGCATCCTCTTCCACACTTTACTTCTGCCGCGATGGACTTCCTTGTTTACCATACGAGTCGTGAAACACGAACTCCACCCCACCTTTGATCTGCCGGATGCCCTTCACTGATATATGTGGCCCACCCAGACCTGCGTAACGGAGCACGGCGGGGTGCAGCGAGCGATGGAGAGCCTTTACCGCGGCGAGGACAGCGACGGGACGGGCAGGTCGGAGCCAAAAAATGGCGGGATGGGTAACGGGGGTAACGGTTCAGCGTTTGATGTCTCGTTGGTGGGGCGGGCCCGGCAGGGGTTCCGGATGCCTGTGAGTGGGGTTCTGGGATATGCTTCGAAGGCACCCACCGTCACACCTACAAAACTCGGATCTGCTTACAAGGAGGAAATCCTCGCGCCCCACCCCTGATATATGAGGGGCGAGCGCGCGGCGCAAACGAGGCAGCGGGACGGCCGAGCGGCACCGATGGAGTCAGCAACGTTGCCGAACGAGGCAAAAAACGGTGCTTCGAAAAGCGACACTTTCGACGTGAGCCTGGTGGGGCGGGCCCGTGCCGGCTTCCGCCTGCCGATCAGCGGGCCGGCGCAGTCTCAGGGATCGCAGCAGCAAACAGTGGGCCTGGCGCTGGGGCTGCTTTCGCCGCCCTCGGCAGGAGGGGAGGCGCCGGGGTCAGGGCTGCAGGTGAGGGGGGTGGCGGCGCGGTACCAGGCGAGGACGGTGCCGGCCTCGGACAAGATCAGCGCTTCCTCCTCGAAGGACCTGGGGGACAGCCCGGCGGCGTCGGTGTGCGGGAGCCTGGGGCTGGAGGACGTGCGGAGCCCGGAGCTGGTGAGGACGGGGTACGTGCTCTCCTTCACGCTGGTGATCGCGGCGACGTGCCTGCTGGAGGGGCGGGGGAACGTGTTCGCGCTGAACCTGGCGATCCTGTCGGCGCTGCCGCTGCTGTCGGCGACGATGGTGTTCCACGGGATGGAGGCGGGGAGGCCGAGGCGGTCGCTGCTGGCGGCGGCGGGGGCGACGCTGCTGGCGGGCTCGGGCGTGTCGGTGATCGTCTCGAACGGGACGCTGTCGCTGACGCGGCACCTGCCGGGGCTGGCGGTGGTGTGCCTGTTCTTCTACCTGATGTCGACGTCGTGGCGGAGGATCCTGTCGGTGGTGTGCAGCGTGCTGGTGCTGCTCTGCGTGGTGCTGAGCATGGTGATCGACGCCAACTTCGAGAACAAGCAGACGCTGGTGCTGACGACGGTGCTCATCTTCGGGCTGCTCTTCGTGCAGAGTCACGTGGCGGTGACGCCGATGAGCTGCCGGAAGGACGGTTGTCTCGGCATGGTCTGACGGCCCTAGTAAAGCGGGGCGGGGGCCGCGGGGAGGAGACAACACCATGGCCTTCACGCTCGCCTTCGTGATGCTGCAGGCGGTGGTGGCGATCGTGTTCCTGGCGCTGACGTCCAAGGTGGTGGGGCCCGAGGTGGCGCTGTACGACACGAAGCTCTCGCCCACGACGGTGCAGCAGCTGCTCTCGGGCAACGCGACCTACGTGGTGATGGGAGGGGACAGCATGCCCGTGCACATGCTGGACGGGGTGGCGGTGGACGGGGGGAACCGGCTGTTCCTGTACCGGCTGAACCCGCTGACGGTGGGGCTGAGCGCGGTGATGCTCCTGACGATCTACGTGATCTACACGTTCCTGAAGCTACCCGAGAGCAGCCACCACTGCAGCAAGATCTCGCCCGACGACGACTACTGCGGGGAGTCGCTGCAGGACCACACGCACTGGGTCTTCTGCTTCTCGGTGTGCATGGTGTTCTGCAACTTCGCGATCATCTCCTTCGTGTGCTTCCCGCGGCAGCTGGACTCGTGCGTCCTGCTGGCCTACATCATCGGGGCGCAGGTGGAGGTGGTGATCGCGCCGCGGGAGGGGGAGGAGAACGGGCTGCAGTCGCTGGCGCGGACGCTGTGCGGGATGGTGGTGCTGCTGCTGTGGATGTTCGTGTGGGCGAAGCTGCGGCAGGACATCGACGGGGTGATCTTCATCTTCATCTTCAAGATCCTGCTCGAGTTTATGATCGTGGGCTACCACACGGGGAGCAAGCGGGTGATGGAGCACGTGGTGGAGTGCCGGGTGCTGTACGCCGTCTGCAACACCTTCCTGTTGGTGACGGTGTATTTAGCGTGGGGGCACTGGCGGTGAGGCGCGGGAGAGGGCATGGGCAGTGATCAGGGCGGCGTGTCCGAGCGGCTGGCGTACACGGTGGTGAGCTACCTGGGGATCGCGGTCTCGCTGAACCTCCTCCTCTACGGGATCATGAACAACTACCGCTACGACTGCGCGGCGGTGTGAAGGTCGGGGAGGGCGGGGCCTTTACCCGACCCGCCCATCGACGCGCGCGGCGGCGCTTATTTAAGCGTATCGCGGGGGGTGGGGGGAAGGAGAAATGTCGCGAAGGCCCCCATCCGATGTGTACGGGCACGCCACCTCCACCGGCTCCGCCGCACAGCCCTTCGCCGACCCCTACGCCCAGGCGAACCACTACCGCTCCATGGCCTCGTCGGCCCTTGGCGCGCCCTCCCGCGCGGTAGTCGCGGGCGGCTTCAGCTCCCCCTACCACCCCCCCGCGAACTACGGCATCGCGGACACACTGGACTTCCGCGACGGCATCGAGATCATGGAGGACGAGCCCCCGCCCCCGGAGGACGGGCCCAAGAGCGTGGCGTGGGAGGACTACAGCTCCGACGAGGAGCGGGCCTCCCCGCCCTCCCCCGCGGCGGTCAGCAAGCGCGACCTGCAGGCGATGATCGAGAGGAACCTGAAGCAGAACTGCGGCGGCCGCTACCAGGCCAAGAGCCGCATCAGCAGCAAGGCCACCGAGCCCGCCCCGGTGCCCGCCAAGGCGTCGGGGAAGCAGGCGGGGAAGCAGGCGCCGGCGGCCCCCAAGCAGGCGCCGGCGGCCCCCAAGCAGGCGTCGGCGGCGAAGGAGATCAGCCTCTCCTCGAAGGAGTCGATCAACCAGAGCCTGAGGAGGCTGGCGGAGACGAGCCGCTCCGAGGCCAAGCCCTCGCAGGTGAACCTGAGCTCCGGCAGCCTGTGGAAGGTGATCCGCGACCAGTCGGCGAGGTGAGGGGCAGGGGCGTAATCATGGTAATCGTGGTATAGTCCAATATTTAATGAAAAAGGAGAAAAGGTAGTCCCAAAGCCCCCCTCTCCGTACCTCTCCGTACCTCGCAGCCCCGCAGCATGCCGCAGACGAGGATAGTACAGCTACTCTTCTACCAGGCGCAGCCCAACGACCACTTCATGAACCGGCTGGTGTCGTGGTTCGACCCGCCGTACGTGCACGTGGAGATCCGCTTCGAGGACGGGATGGCGAGCTCGGTGTACGCGGGGGAGACGGTGTTCTTCCGGAACCGGACGTACGCGAACCCGCACTACCGCATCGAGACGTTCACGGTGGAGGACAGGGACTACCAGGCGATGTACCGGCACTGCCGGCTGCGGGCGGCGCACAACGTGGGGTTCGACGGGCTGGGGATGTACCTGGCGATCCTGCCGCTGATCAGCCGGAACCCGCCGGACCGCACCTTCTGCAGCCGGTACGTGACGGAGGTGCTGCAGCTGGGCAACGTGCCCGAGTTCGTGATGCTGACGCCGTGCCGGACGACGCCGAGCATGCTGTTCAAGGCGGTGCGGAGCTCGAACCGGACGCTGTTCAGCAGCGTGCCGTTCAAGATCGAGCTGGCGGTGCAGGGGGCCTGCGGGCCGCAGGACCTGCACCCGGGGAAGAAGCGGCGGGGGACGGTGACGGAGGAGGGGATCGTGCCGATCGCCTTCACGCCGAGGGTCTGAGTGGGGCGCGCGCTAGGCCTCGTCCGGGCGGTTGGAGGCGGCGGCCTTCTCGCCGCCCGCCTTGGCCTTGTCCGAGAGGGCGGGCCTCTTGCCGTCGTTCTTGAAGATGGCGGTGATCTGCGAGACGATGCTGAGGTAGAGCTTGGCCATCCTGTCGTCGACGACCATGTTGCCCGTGTGCATCTCGACGGTGGTGACGCCGGCGCGGACGATGTTGACGAGGTGGTTCATGTCGCGGACGTTCCTGGCGAAGATGAGGTTCTGGGAGACGGAGTGCTGGGTGAAGTGGGTGCGGATGGCCTCGCGGGAGACGTTCTCCTGCGGCCACTTGCTCGCTATGATGGTGTAGACCTGCTCGACGATCTCCTCCTCGGCGATGTTGAGCGCCGAGTCGTTGACGTACTCGATGATCTCGCGCATGTAGGGGCAGGAGGCGGAGTAGTACCTGCAGAGCCAGCAGGGGCGGTAGGCCGGGCGCTGGGCCTGCTGCTGCTGCTGCCTCTGGTGCTGGAGGTTCTGCTCGAGGTGGTGCTGCTGGACGTAGAGCTGGGCGGCGGCATCCATGGCCCGGAGTTGCCGCCGGCCCGGGGGGCGGGAGGCTTTATAGTTATTCGGCGCACGGCGCGCAATCCGTATTTATGTCACCCGGGCCCCCTGGCCGGAAACCATGCCGGGGGCGTGGTCGGAGGAGCTGGGGAGCATGGAGGAGAGGCTCAGGGAGCAGCGGGGGAGGGAGTCGGCGCTGCACGCGGCGATCGAGGCCCAGAGCCAGGCCGCCTCCGCGGGAGGGCCGGAGGGCCAAGCCGCCCGGCAGCTGCTCCTGCAGAGCCGCGTGGAGCTGCTGCGGACGGTGGCGGTGACGGAGGACATCGAGCAGTCGCTGCGGGAGCTGCAGAGCATGGCCATCGGCGAGATTGTCGAGGGCGAGCTGGACGAGCCAATCCAGGCTGAGCCAATCCCTGAACAAATCACCAAAGAGCCAACCACTGAGGAGCCAATAGAGCCAATAGAGCCAATAGAGCCAATAGAGCCAATAGAGCCAATAGAGCCAATAGAGCCAACAGAGCCAATAGAGCCAATAGAGCCAACAGAGCCAAAAGAACCAAGCGCCGAGCCCAGGATAAGGAGCCCGATCAAGAGCCACGCGGGGGTGTGGGCGAGGACGGGGGGCTCGTACGACGATGAGGTGGTGGGCCTGATGGCGAGGATGGATGCGGCGTGCTCGGAGCTGGAGGGCACGTTCCCGCAGCGGAGCAGCACGCCGTACGCCTGCAAGGCGCGGGTGGACCGGGCGCTGAGGCAGGAGATCGTGGCCGAGGGGCTGCGGGAGGACCTCCTCGGGATGCGGGAGAGGCTGGACGCGCTGATCGAGCGGCGGGGGATGTTCTTCCAGCTGCACGAGAGGCACGTGGACGGGCTGCTGGCGATGGACGACGAGTCGCTGGTGCGCTACCACCAGAACCAGGCGAGCCAGTGCCGGCGGTTCCTGCAGCTGCTGTCGGAGTTCCGGGCGGAGGAGGCGGAGAGGATGGGGGTCGGGGAGCTGGTGAGGGCGCGGGACCTGCACCTGGTCGGGGCGGGGGACAGCATCCACCGCATCCACCGGTCGGTGCAGAGGCTGGCGGCCATCCACGAGCGGCCGATGGGGGAGAACGCCAAGCGGGAGAAGGCCGGGGCGCTGCGCTCCTCCATCTCCACGGAGGCGGAGGTGTTCGTGGCGATGGCCAACGGGCTGGAGAAGTGCTGGGCCGCGCTGGCGCTGCAGGCGTCGGGGATGGGGATGGCGCCGCAGCAGCTGTTCTGCACGCTGGAGACGAGGGTGCTGGACAGGCTGGTGGAGAGCTGGGCCTGGCGGACAACAGCCCCGAGATCAAGCTCGTGGGCGCCAAGGCCGGGAGGATCGTGGCGGAGGTGCAGGCTATGCGGAAGGCCTTCTCCGCCCTGCTGCAGGCCGGGGACGGTGGCGGGCTGGAGGGCTGGAGGGACGGGGAGGAGGCGGCGGAGCCCGAGGTGCTGGGGCTGGCGAGGACGCTGCTCAGCACCAGGGCGAGGGAGGAGCCCGGGGGAGGCGGGCTGCGGAAGGAGCTCGAGCACGTGCTCCGCTTCCTGGCCGAGAGGCAGGTGCCGGACAACCCGCTGGCGAGGGCGTCGTGCCAGCAGAGGCTCAGCGTCGCGAGCAGGCTGGCCGACATCTACCGGAGGAGGCTGGCGGGGCTGCACCCGGACGTGGAGCTGAACGTGCTGCACTACCAGGCGGCGATCAGGCAGGCGTCGGAGGCGCTGCTGGGGCCGCAGGGGGCGTGCAGGGTCCCGGGCCCCGTGCCGGCGCTGGACCTGGAGTTCGCGCAGGCGATGGACGCCTTCACGGGGGACGGGGGGATGCTCTCGCACTTTGCCAAGCGGAACCAGGACATGCAGAGGGAGGTGAACCGGGGGATGGCGATGTCCTACCGCTCCTACATGGCGTGCTACAACAGCGCCAAGTCGCTGCTGCGGTACTACGACATCTGCTGCCGGAGGCTGTCGCTGCCGGGGACACCGCACGTGGAGAGCTTCCAGAGGGCCTGCAACCACCTCCGGACGCACCTGAACCTGGCCGTCGGGATCATCCACGACCGGCTGGAGGAGCTGCACGACAACTGCTAGAATGCATATGAACTTTCGCCGGGTTCCGGCTTCTAAATACCCCCCCAGCATATGCATCCTGGGTGTAGAGCGGATCATTAAAAAAAAACAAACGCCAACTGCCATGGTCCGGGAGGGAGGGAGGGAGGCGGGGACAGAGGGGGATGGCGGAGGAGTCGAAGCACGAGCCGGTGGAGGAGGGGGAGGAGGGGGAGGTGGACCCGTCGGAGCACTGCGGGGAGATCATGGACCGGTTCGTGGAGATGTTCCTGCGGGGGGAGGCGCTGCGGGGGATGCTGCTGTACATGTGCAACTCTTGCACGGTGGAGATCAACGACCCGATCACGCACACCCTGTGCACCTTCATGACGACGCCGGTGTCGCTCTGCGTGACGAAGACGGGGCTGGCGCCGCTCAAGGACTGCAACATGGCGATCCTGCCGTTCGGGTGCATGACGCCGGAGCAGAAGGCGTTCCTGAACGGGGCGATCAACGAGATGCAGGCGGGCGGGCTGGCGACGCTATCGACGCAGATGGGGGGAGGGGGCATGGCGCAGCTCAACTACCGGGGGCCGAAGCGCTACCTGCCGGCGGAGGACGTGCTGACGCAGTTCTGCGCGGCGGTGAGGTGCTCGGGGAGCCACCTGGGGCCGGAGATCAAGGACAACGTGTGCAACATCGTGATCCAGCGGGTGTGCAGCATGGTGCACGTGCCGCGGTCGACGCTGGCGGCCATCTCCAAGGAGTCGTGCGTGCTGCGGGAGTGCGCCGAGGCCAGCGCGGCGTACAGTGTTTCATCCTCCGGCCCCCCCACGGGTAGTTAACGGGCGGCGGGGCAGGGCGGGAGGGGGGACGATCGGACAGCGATGGAGCTGATCAACCGCTTCTTCGAGGACAAGCGGCTGACGTCGGTGGTGCTGATGACGTGGATGACGATGGTGCTGGCCATCTTCTCGGAGCTGGGGGTGATGGACTCGCACTTCATGAAGTTCGGCCCCGGGAAGCACTCCAAGGTGATGGGGGTGGAGCTGGACACGTGGTACAAGTGGAGCTGCATCGCGGTGTTCACCTTCGTCTCGACGGCGATCAACGCCTTCGTCGGGGACGCGATCATGCCGTGGATCCAGAACACCATCCAGGACCACAAGACCAAGTTCCTCCCCTACTCGAAGATGACGTGCATCATCATCACGCAGGTCTGGACGCTCTACTGCTGCGTCATGGGGGTCTTCTCGCTCTTCGTCATGCTCTCCCAGGTGGACTTCCTCTTCATCCGCATCTGCGCCGACCTGCTCGTCAACGTCTACACCAGCATCGCGTTCATGCGGGGCAAGACCGTCGACCCCCACCGCTACGACGCGTGGATGAAGATGGACGGGCAGCAGCACAGCACCTTCGTCAGCGGGCCCGACCCCAACGTCACCATCAGCATCACCCCCCACCTGCAGCAGGGGGCGTCGCCGGCGGAGGCGGAGGCGGAGCTGGAGAAGCGCGCCAACGGGCCGGGCCCCGGGGAGGGGCTGGAGGAGGACGACGAGGAGGACGAGGACGAGGAGGCCGCGGCGGTGGGGAGGAAGGGGAGGAAGGGGAGGAAGAGGAAGGGGCAGGACGGCACGGCCCGCTCCCTGCTCGTCCCAGCGGCAACGTGAGTCATGGACGGTCTTCATGTATAAAATAAAAGCAAACGGCCCAACCACCCAACCATCGCCAGCAACACACAATCATGAACAGGGGGCACCAGGCGAGGGCGCCGCCGTGCTTCGTGACGCAGGCGCGGATCACGCCGTCCACCACCCGCTTCCTCGCGCTGTTCCTCCTCTCCATCTTCACCATCCAGGTGATTGCCGTGCTGGTGGTCCTCCACGAGCGGGTGAACGAGAGGGGAGGGCTGCTGTACTGGGAGCTACTTGCGAGGCTTGTGCGCAGCCGCCCGGCCCTCCAGCTTGGATGACACCGCCGCGCCGTAGAGCGGCTTGCCCTGGTACTTGCCGCTCTTCAGGTCGGCGAGATCCTTCTCCACCACGACCTCCTTCTCCACCAGCCTCTGCACGTTGGTGACCTGGTACTGCATGATGGCGCTGATGTCGGCCACCATCCGGTGGAGCACGAGCTGCACCTGCAACGGGTCCAGCGGCGCCCCGGGCAGCGGTCCCATGGCGGCTGGCGCTACTGGTGCTGGTGCTGGCGGCAGGGTGAAAGGCGGGGTGTAGGTCGAAGAAGAACCAGTGGGAGGGTGAGGAGCAGGGGGAGTGGGATGAAGAGGAGCAGGGGGAGTAGGACGAGGAGAGGCGGGGGGAGTGGGATGAAGAGGAGAAGCAGGACGAGGAGAAGCGGGGGGAGTAGGACGAGGCGAGGCAGGGGGAGTAGGACGAGGCGAGGCAGGGGGAGTAGGACGAGGCGAGGCAGGAGGGGTGTGATGGGCCAAGGCCTCGATCTTCACGGCCTCCGCATCATCGTCTTTGAGAAGCCGGAGAGTAGCATCCGCTTCCTTCAACAGGTTCTGCACGGAAACGACGAACGTGTCGGCGCGGAGCTGCTCCGAGGTGCAGAACGAAAAGCTCAGCGAGGACATCACGTCCGACTTGAGCTTCTCGACACTGGCGACCTGGTGCTTAGCCCCGTCCACGAAGTCCTTGATGTCGGATAACTTCGCGCTGGCCTGCACTGTGAGGTTGTGCAGCGTCGTGGTGGTGGCCGAGCTCGGATCCTTCGTTTTCTCCGCGTCGTAGAGAGCCTTGATGCGGTCGAACAGCTGCTCCGACTGTGTGTACATGCCTTGGATGGACCCGAGATTTTTCCCGCAGTCCTCGAGCTTGACCTCGATCCCCTTCACGATCGATTCCTTGTCCGCGTCGGATATGCCGCTGCTCATCATCTGCTTCACATGCTCGATGTCCTTCTCGATGTAGGTCAGGGTCATGGCTTGCGCTTCCAGCGGGGTCATGGACGGGACCTCGATCTGCTTGCCGGCTTGCAACGAGTCCTTCACCTGCTCGTTGACCACGTTGGCGAGCGAAGGGTCGACGGCGGATAGGTTCTCGATCACCTCCACGCTGTCGGCGGTCAGCAGGTCGGTCACGGACAGCGGGGCGAGCCTCAGACTGTCCCCCTCCTGCAGGGCCGAGGCTGGCGGCGGGCCCGACGGCGGCAGCCTGATACTAACGCCGATGGTCGCCCCCAGCGCCGCGCCGACGGCCGGGCTCGTGTTCCTCTTGATGGCCTCCAGCTCCTTGGACGACTCGAGGAGGTTCGAGACGAGCTTGTCGTACAGCTCGGCGTCGTGCGCGCCCAGGCTGTGCGAGGCGACGGCCTCCCTGTCCAGCTGCTCGACCCTGGCGAACTCCGCGAGGTTGCTGTCGACGATGTACATGCAGGCCACCTTCAAGGCAAGCTCTGCGATCGACGGGTCCTGGATGAACATCTCGTCCACCTTCTCGTCGGCGATGTACTTGACCAGGACGTGGAGCTTCTTGAAGCTCATGGTGTTCATAAAGCTGAAGATTTCGTACCTCTTGCCGCCCAGGGCGTCCGTGCCCTCCCTCTCCGCGGCGGTGTCCCGCAGGGCCTCCTTGTAGTAGCACCCGTCGTCGTCGAAGGAGTGGAGGGGGTAGAGCTTGTTCAACACCGCCTTGTTCGTCAGGATCCACTCGAGGTAGAGCTTCTGCTCCATCAAGCGGTCGGACCCGAGCTTGGCCTCCAGCCCCTCGACGAAGTCCGCCAGCTTCGTCATGCCGCTCACCCTCGCGAGGTCGTTGACCCTCTGCCGGACGCGGTCCTGCACGCAGCGGACGACGGCGGACTCCGGCGGGGAGGTCATGTACTGGAGGTACAGGTCCTGCAGCCCGTTGAACGTCTTCATCTCCTCCCCGTAGCAGGCGTAGAGGTCGGTGGAGACGAGGCCGTAGGAGCCGAACTGGGATATGGGGCTGAAGCCCGCGAGGTGCGGGCTGAGCTTGAATTTCGCGTCCACGCCGACTTTGCGGACGAAGAACGGCCCGTCGGATCCTTGCATATCCTCGAAGGCCTTGTCGAACACGGGCCCGAGGAGAGTCTGGCCCACCGCGTGCTTGTAGCTGTTCAGGCAGAGCTTATCGTACTTCTTGTTCTTCTGCCAGTAGTCCATCAGCATGCCCTCGTACTTCCTGGCGCAGACGAGGCGCGAGGCCAGCATGATGCACTTGAGCACCTCGACGGAATAGACGCAGCAATCGTAGATGTCGCCGAGGGTCTCATCGAAGCAATCCAGCACCGCCAGGGTCCTGATCTTCTGGAGGGTGTACCCCTTCACGCCGCCGATCGTCTTGCTGACACTCGATGCCTTGGACCCTGCGCTGAACAGATCGATCAACCGCTGCAGGCCGTGCGCCTTGATGAAGTCCGGGATGACGCTGTCCGCGACCTTGACGAGCTGGACGCATTCCTTGACCCATTCAGCTTCCGAGTAGAGGGTGAACAGCGCGTTGCCTACCATGTTGTAGTCACTCTTGGACTCCATCTCTTCCAGGCCCGTCAGGGTGGTGACCAACTCCTTCTCGACGACATGGGCGTAGAGCGCAAACATGTCGCGCAGCATCATCTTGCCCAGCATGTGCCTGACCGTCTCATAGTCGATGTCCTCATCATCGGACCACTGGTTGTCACTGTCCTCATCCGAGTCGTCCTTCCCGTTGATGCCAGCCCTCTTCTTCTTCAGGATATTGTTGATCCCCGCCAGGTATATCGATTGGGCATTGTCATTGCTGTTCGCCTCAGCTTGGACCAGACCCAGCGCATACTTCGCATTCGTCACGTCCATGTCCACGAAGTTGCCGTACCTGCGATAGCCAGTCTTGGCCGGATTCTCCACGGGCCTGGCTGCGGGGCCGTCCCTCGCCGACCTCAATCCCGGCGTCCTAATGGCCCTGTTCAATTCGTCCATCATCGACGGTTTCGGGGGCGTGGGCTGCCTTGAGGCCGCGGGCGGCGATCCCGCTCCCGATCCCGCTCCCGATCCCGCTTCCTCAAGGACCTTGCGCTTTTCCTTCATCTCTCTTTGTTTTCTTAATACCTCTTGCATCATGTCATTTCCGCCCCCAGCCGGGGTCTTGGGCTTATTGTCGACCACAGGTGCAGTCTCCGGGCTGCCTTGGGGTAATCCTCTGAGAAGTGGGATTGCTGCTGTATCAAACCTCTCAGTCTGAATTTGCAGAGCTATGCCTTGACTGCAGCTGACTGCGACGTCGACATCGCGCTGGTGGAATCCATATACCTCCATGATTTTTGCGATGGATTCAACCGCGACGTTATTGAAGAAGTTGGCAAAGTCGAGGTATAACAGTATAATGTTGTTTTGACTGCTCTGGGCCTCCTCGATGATGTTAAGTAGTCTATGACCTTGACGGATCGTCCCGCCCTCGGGTCGGAAACCCTCTTGGTTATCTGTTAACAGCTTGTGCCTCTCAGCTGCTTTTGCCAGTCTGTGTGCTATCACCGCTTGGAAGATTCGCGTCACCGACGAGAGGATACATATAGGACGCATATTTTCCAGAACATGACAGAGCTCGTTTTTTGGAAGGAGTCTGACTCGTGCTAGCATGTTCAACAACGTTTTGTCTCCTGTCAACGCTCTACTGATCACTTTTCCTATCTCCTCCTTTGCGCTGTCAGGTAAAGCTTTCAGGATCTCGTTTGAGATCAAATCCATGCCTGCTGCCTTGCGATTTGATACTTTTTGAATCCAAATCTGAATTTCTCCTGGCTCCAGGGGAAAAGCAATTTCTATTTCCCTGGTCGGGTGTTGATCAATGTTCGCGGGAGAGTTGAATTCCGGTGGTTGGACGGAGGTGAATGATTGACACTGTTTGCAGAAGAAGAGGATCGTCGTTTCTTCGTTCTTCTGACCTTTGTCATATAGCGGGATCAATCGTCCTCGTGTTTGACACTCCGCCTTTGCGCAGGTTCCATTCGTCGTGCAGCCGTTGACTGCGAAGAAGGTTGCCGTGTGGGTTTCATCTTCGAGTTCGCTAGCCAATCTCATAGGGAGAAATTGCTCGATGTTCTTGTATCCTTCTAGGCGCCACCCTCCTGGTTGTGGGAGCAGTTCCCGAATGATTTGTACAATCAAATGTGCTGGCGCCACGGTGAGGGAGAGCTTCTTTGATGTTTGATTTCCCGCCCCGAGGACCTCAACGTGCAGTAAGGTTTGATGTTTTGCATTCCAAAAAGTTTTGCTTGATTCTTTGGAGCTGTTTTGCAGGAATGCTTCCATCAGCGGATCCAGGTCCTGTAAATACTCTAGCTCTGACCGCTGCAGCGCTGTTTTTGAGTTCAATTGTATTTGGGTGGCATTTCTCTGGCAGTTGGCTACTCATTGGGGCTTTGGGCTTATAGTCTGATTTCTTCCCCATTGCATTCTGGGACTCTTTACTCCCTATCGTGCCCAGTCGTCGTCGGCGTTCCTCGCAAGCTTTCAGGAAGGTTTGTTGGTCCTGTTCGGTGCAGATCTCCTTGAATTTGATCATAGTCTCTCTTAGTTCGGCGTTGATACTCGACTCCCTGTGTGCACGATCAATATAGTCTGTGATTTCTGATGCGCTTCTCAGATCCTTGCGAAGTTGCTTAATCTTCCTTTTCAGGTCCATTTGAATCTTCGATGAGTATCGCTTCCCACCTGAGGTTCGTAGGGGGATTTCCTTAATGGGAAGGGCAGTTGTTATCAAATTGATAATGTCGCAATCTTGCTGTAGAGCTTGTGCCGCTTGTATCTTCTCGTCGAGAGCCATTGCCCATTCCACGCCTAGTCGTCCCGATATCTTTTCTATCTCTACCACCCGCTTCTTTCGTCGAAGAATGGCATCTCGGTCCTTCCTTTGTGTAAGCATTTCAACCGTTGGAATAAATTGTTCGCCCTTATCATCTAGCGCAGTCACATTCACCACCAGTGCCCTGTGATCGACTGCGGCTCCTATGATGCAGTCTTCTGCGGTCTCGGATATCAGGCTTACTGTGCGAGATGAATGATGTAGAGCGAAGACATGGTCTAATTTGGCTTGGTGGTGGCCCTGTTTGTACCATGTGGAGAAGGTGAAATGCGAACTGCTTCTGCTCATCTTTTCGCAGGTGACCATCTGATATCGCCCCAGCTCATTTAAGTTTCGTTCCATTTCCTCATCTGCGCGGTGCACGTTCGAGTTGCTCCCGTACCCTACTCTCGTGCAGATCTCTGCAAGCTTTCGAGATGCGTTGAAGTCGCCTCCGACGATGCTGAGCTTAATGTTTGGGTCCATCTTGAGCATCTGGCTCAGCGCCTTCCACATGTTGTCTCGGTCTCTCCCCTCCGATGCGATAGGGAAATGTACGTTCGCCAACACTATTGTTTCTTTTTTGCGGCCAACGTGTAAAACCTGTATTCTTTTTTGGGAGACCTCGCGCTCCCATGGCAGGGGGGGGCGAGGTGCAAGGTCAGCATGCGCTAATGTCATGAGGCGTAGGTCACTCTTACCCTTTCTCCCGCCCCCCGTGCCTTTCGTGATAAATACTCGATAGCATCCCCATTCCTTCTTGATCATCGTTCGGAGAGCTATCTCTTTCCTCCTCCCCCCTACCAAGACCTCCTGCAGCATTACCACGCTCGGCTGGTATGTCTCAATCAGGTATCCCAAGATGTGTTTCAGCACAAACTGGCTGCACCCATTAACATTTTGAGAGATGATGTTGCCTGGGGTGTTATCCTTTCTGTGCATCTCCACCCATGATGGTTGCTCTGATCTTTCTGTTCGAATTGCATTGTGAGGTTTTCTACCTGTTGTTAGTATTTGTTCCTCTTCCCTATTGGCCCATTGAAGTTGATGTGGTACTCCCCTTCGATCTCTTGCCGGAGAGTGCGTCTCCTCCTCCTCCCTAGTTCCCCTTACATCGTTCGAAGCTTGTTCTTTGTGCTTGCCCGCTGGGGGGAGCGATGTGGCCTGCGGCGGTAGTGAGTCCATCTGTTCTGACCTTTCATATGTCCGCAGGTCCGCCATGTTTCTCGCTTGCCACGGTTCTTGCTCTCCCTGCTCCATCTCTTGTGCCTGGGTCACCTCTGCTGCTTGCCATTCCTTGTACCCTTTATCTTGCGCGTGTTGTAAAGCTCTGCAGATGCCTTTGATCGTTTCTCGCATGCGCGCTTTTCCTGGATCCTCCACCCAAAGCGCATCCAGCAGCCGGTGCCTCATCCTCTCGAGCCATTGCTGGGGTGGGGGGACGCCTTGCTGCCTACCTGTTTTTGAGATGTCTCGTTGTGTCGGTCTGTTTGTCTTTGCGATCAGCAGCAAATGCAACAGTATGAAGATCCCACAGTTGTGATTGTCTGTTTGTTGTAGCTCAGTTGACAGGTAAACCCGCCATGTCGTTGCATGTTCCTTCTACAAGCGAATGTCATCTGGGCAAAACTCGGACTTGAGCAGGCAGGAACAGGGAAGAGAAGAAGTCCAGCTGAAACTGTGCCTCCCTTTGACTTCTGACAATCCCCAAGTCTCTCTCAGCCGTGCTGAGTGAATCAACAATGCGTATTCTTTTTGTGTCAAAATCTGCCATTAGTAGAATCCAATGATTGCCATTCTCTACACACGGGAATAAGAATGGCTGAGCTGCCCCGGCTAGTAGTCGCTTTGCTCTCTTTGTCCTTCCCTCTTGATCTCTCAAACAAGCTACTATTCTCGGGAGGACAATAGTCCCTCTCGGCGACTCGACCTGGTTTCTAGTTTGCGCGTTCGCGTACCTCTTGTCTCGTAGCCATGCTACTTGAAATCTGTCTTCCAATGGTTCGATACCTTCGCTTGCCTCGAGGATTATCGCCTCCACAACATCTTCGGAGAGAAAGCCAGCTTCTCCCGAGTTGAGTAGCGCCGCTAATCCATATTCTCTGTTTTGTTCCCTTCGACTCCAGGGGATCTCCCCTACGAGGTCGAATGTTTGTGTCGTTTTTTGATTTTCTTTGTCTTTGTTTTTCTCACCTTCTTGTCCTTCCCCCTCACCCTTGTGCCAATTGTCCCACCTGCCCTCGTCTCCTCCTGTTCCTGCGTCCATTAAGCTTGTGCCGCAGGGGGGGAGTCTAGTGACATCCCCTCTGCGTCGTCCGCCTTGCTCCCTTCCTCCTGTTCCTCTTCCATTCCGGCCTCTTTCATCTGTAGTTCAGTGCTCAACATGAACTTTAGTTCGTCGTTATCTCCCAGCATTCCTACCGAAGAGATTACTGTCTCCTCTAGGAATTTATTCAATGCAATGAAGAGCAGGTCAGTCTTAAACTGCTTCTCTTCTTTGGGGGCAAAAGCGCTTTGCTTGCGCTTCGCGACCTTCCATGTATGCTTCTCAACGATTCGTTGGACTCGCTCTTTGAAGCCCTTACTCTGGGTATCCCATGTCGCTCCAGTGCCTTTATCAGCCCATTCTTGCAGCGTGGAGAAGGACGCGTTGCCTGGACTGTCTAAGGCGACCTGCATGTCGTGCACAGCATCGTCAAGACGAAGTAAGGTCTTTCCTTGCTGTTAACTACTTCCGCGATAGCTGTCTTGATCTCAGCAATTACTACCTCTGCTTCCGCGTCGGGCAGGTTTGTTTCGTTGATGATTGAGTTCAGTTCAATCTCTTTCCACACGGTTCGCTTGGTCAGATTGATCCTGTGTTGCCTGAGGCGACACTGTGAGGTTCAGACTACTTGCTGTCGTCTGGATCTCAACTGTGCCTTGCCAGCAGAGAAGGTGTGTGGGGAATTCAGCCATCATCTTTCTTGCACTCCTTTCACTTCGTAGCCTGAGAATAATTCCAGACCCATCCCACATCCCCGTCTCTGCGTCACATTGGATGTGTACCCGTTGCAGCTCTTTTTCAACCTGTGGGTCCCAGCATGCGACAGACCTCCGGATGTTTCGGATGACTTTGGCTCTGCCCGTTTCGTCACTGGCGCAGATTTTTTCAATCTCACTTCGAGAGAACTTCCCTGATGGCACTGGGGAGGAGATTTGCACTGAGTACAGCATCTCTGCCCCCGTTGCCGTTGCCGCCTCCTGTCGCACAGCATTCTTCGTATGCTTGAGCATAGTCGTTGCTTCCATTTGAACTGAAAACCATTTCAGTATTTTGTCATTCTCTGAGACCAATCCCAAAGTGACTCCTGCTCGATCTTTTCCATGTCGATCGAATGCCTGGAGGACGATGTCCGCTACTTCCAGGCTCGAACAAGTCGCGATCCAGTCTACCTCTCTGTTCTGGTTGACTGTGTCTATTCCTACCGCTGCAAACACCTTCTTTGGCGGCAGGTTCCTCTTGGGGGGGAGGTTCACTGTCATTCCCGCGTTTGGGATCAGGTCGATAATTGCTAGGCCCTGTTTCAAGCACAACTGCCTGTAGATCTCACATATATCACCTGTACTCGAATCATTGAGCTTAAGGAGTTGGGCCACCTCCGCTAGGATTCCGACTCTGCCCATGTTCTCCTTCTTTGGTCGCATCTTGAACGAGATCGGTGGGTTGGCTGCTGGGTTCACTGCTAGGATCCTCCTTCCAGCCACCTTAAAGGTACCTTCTCCTTTCCAGAATTTCTCTGCCGCCTCGTTGCGGACAAAGGTGATCACTGCTGGGATCTCTTCTGCCTTCGCCAGGTCAGGCTTGAGGGGAGCCTTGAAGATCAAACTCCTGCTGTCTTGCGTCTGATCTACGATCAGGCCTTGCTCTTCCAGCTTGACGCATAAGTTTTCAACCTGTCTGGAGAAGTATGCAGGTATCCCTAGTACCTTCATGGTAATCGTCTGCACACTCGTGCCCTGGTCATCATAAGACCTGGCCTCCATCTGCCGTTGCCTGTCTGCTAGAAATTCGGACAGGTACCACTGCCTGGCATCATCACCCCACTGCCCGAGACCTTTCAGACTCTCCAGTGGTGAAGGTTCAGCAAAGCTGCATGTGTGACTGATGGCTTCGGCTAAGGCTTCCAAGGATATCTCTTTGGCTTTCAGAGCTTTGCTCGTCCTGCTTTTGGGATTCTGCCTTGCGAAGTCATCCAGTCGTCGCACAAGCTCAGCTGGTGACGGCATCGTTCCAGTTTCCGTCTGCCTCTTGAGGTAGCTGGAGGTACGGTACTGCACGATCTCGTCAGGGTTCACAATAGATATTGGCCACATGCTTCGGAGCATTCTCAATGGTTTCCCAAGCTTCCGTCGTTCCTGGCGGCTCTTACTCCACCAGCGCAGGGGTACCGCAAATCTGCATGCCAGGAAATAAGGAACCTGCCAGGAAATAAGGAACCTGCCAGGAAATAAGGAACCTGCCAGGAAATAAGGAACCTCTGCCAGGAAATAAGGAACCTCTGCCATGAAATAAGGAACCTCTGCCAGGAAATAAGGAACCTCTGCCAGGAAATAAGGAACCTCTGCCAGGAAATAAGGAACCTCTGCCAGGAAATAAGGAACCTCTGCCAGGAAATAAGGAACCTCTGCCAGGAAATAAGGAACCTCTGCCAGGAAATAAGGAACCTCTGCCAGGAAATAAGGAACCTCTGCCAGGAAATAAGGAACCTCTGCCAGGAAATAAGGAACCTCTGCCAGGAAATAAGGAACCTCTGCCAGGAAATAAGGAACCTCTGCCAGGAAATAAGGAACCTCTGCCAGGAAATAAGGAACCTCTGCCAGGAAATAAGGAACCTCTGCCAGGAAATAAGGAACCTTTGCCAGGAAATAAGGAACCTCTGCCAGGAAATAAGGAACCTCTGCCAGGAAATAAGGAACCTCTGCCAGGAAATAAGGAACCTCTGCCAGGAAATAAGGAACCTCTGCCAGGAAATAAGGAACCTCTGCCAGGAAATAAGGAACCTCTGCCAGGAAATAAGGAACCTCTGCCAGGAAATAAGGAACCTCTGCCAGGAAATAAGGAACCTCTGCCAGGAAATAAGGAACCTCTGCCAGGAAATAAGGAACCTCTGCCAGGAAATAAGGAACCTCTTGCCAGGAAATAAGGAACCTCTGCCAGGAAATAAGGAACCTCTGCCAGGAAATAAGGAACCTCTGCTAAACCCTAAACCCTAAACCCTAAACCCTATTATTATTATTATTATTATGTGAGTTTATTAGAATGCTAGAATGTTGCTCGGCCTCGTTGTGGGCTTTTGCAATTTGATCCTAGTCTAAAGAGGCGCTCGAGCACTGGGAGTACACGGCCTACAATGCGAACCCTGCTTCTGAGGCGTCTTTCTACTCTCTACTTCTGCTGTCTTCTCTTGGCTTCCTCAGCCTCAGTCAGGAGAGTCGCCTCTCCTCACCTTGGCCTTCGGTCGCCACCTACTCTACCTCCATTCAGCTTCCTCAGCCTCAGTCAGAAGAGTTGCCTCTCCTCACCTTGGCCTTCGGTCGCCACCTACTCGTCCTCCATTCAGCTTCCTCAGCTTCAGTCAGGAGAGTTGCCTCTCCTCACCTTGGCCTTCGGTCGCCTCCTACCTTCTCTCCTTACCTTGAGCTCAGCTCAAGCTCGGTACGGGCTCGCCCCGTCTTCTTCCTCGCCCTCGCCTTGCTCTTCCTCCATGTCTTCCTCTTCTTCGTCATCTTCCCTCATCTCCACTCGCAGTCGGTCCTTCTTGTCCACCTTCAGCGAGCAGGCCAGCACATGCATCTCTGCGAATTTACTCAGTGCTATGAACAGGAGGCTAAGAGATCGACGCTCTATGTCGTCGCTCTCCGCCTCCTGCTCAAGCTCAGCAGCTGCCGTTGCCCGTGGCGAGAACGCGCTGCCCCTCCTTGCCTTCTTGCTCTCTCCTTGCACGCGAGTCCAGCGCTTGCTCTGCAGCCACTTCCCCAGCTTCTCCTTGAGAACGTTGGCATCTTCGCCCACTCTCCCAGCGACTTCGCCCACTCTCCCAGCGACATGAACTCCAGGCTCCCCGGAGAGTAGAACGTGTCGTGGAGGTTGCCAACGGCCTTGTCCAGGACCAGCTTGATCGGCTCGCTCGTCCCTGCCTCGTTCAAAGAAGCTGCATCTTCAATGACTGCTGACAGCTCGCTGACGAGCTGCATGTCCTCTTGGCTTGACGGAGATGCTGCCTCCATTGTGATCCTCTCCAGGTCTGTAAACTCCAGCCACTCTCCCTCGCTCTCCTCCTGTCGCTGCGCTGCGTCGCTGGTGCCCCGCTGACCAGCCGCCTCAGGCTCCTTGTCGAAGCCGACTGCTTCGAGCTTGGTGGCTGCGCCTTCGAGATAGAAGGGCAGCTCCTTCATCATGCGTCGAGCATCCTCCGTGGAGCCGAGGAGGATGCATAGCTTGGACCCGTTCCAGGACTTGGTGTTCAAATCCTCCTCCATGTCGATGCCTTCAACGTTGATCTAGGAAATCCCTAGGAGAGTCATGGAGATGAAGGAGGTCCCCTCGGTGCCTTCGGTGCCGATGTATGTCTCGACATTCTGCTTCTTGGCCTCCTCCATCTGTTGAATAAACCATGCTTTCGACTCTGAGCTCCATTCGCTCAGAGAGTCTTCAAACAGGTCGCGTCTCGCCTGCCGACATGTCGAGCGGATGGCTTCAGCGATAGCGTCGGGAGTGCATCCCCCCTCAGCTCTGCAAGCATAACTGCGGCTGTCCGACTATTCGGATAACGCTTGGTGAAGTTCACCTTCTCGACGAGGTCGGCGGCCTCCTCGACGTGGCCTCCTGAGCGCTCACCCTGCGTGTATTGGCATGATCTCCGATACAGCAGGTTGCGAACGCTCTCATCATACTGTAGTACCATGCTTAGAAAGGCTGTTTGAACTATATGAACCTCTTGCTCGCAGCTTCCACCGGTCCCCTTGCGCTCTCCCTACGCGCCGCAGGGCCGCATGCTCTTACTAAGGGCCGGCTGCTCTTACTAAGGGCCGGCTCTGCTCTTACTAAGGGCCGGCTGCTCTTACTAAGGGCCGGCTGCTCTTACTAAGGGCCGGCTCCTAAACCCTAAACCCTAAACCCTAAACCCTAAGCCCTTAGCCCTAAGCCCTAAACCCTAAGCCCTAAGCCCTAAGCCCTAAGCCCTAAAAACCCACATACACAATCGTAGTCTAAAGAGGCTCGCGAGTACTGGGAGTGCCCTAAACCCTAAACCAGGAAGCCTAAATCAGGAACCCTAAACCAGGAACCCTAAACCAGAAACCTTGAAATTTTCTAACTGGGCGGCAACGGGTATACCAGATAGATAGGTTTTCAACCGCCATGAAGACTGCATGCAGTCCGCCATGCAGACCGCCATGCATACAGTGTATGTCTCAGCATCCTGTCTGATATTTCTTGGTCGCCTAAATTTTTTCTCCTCCTCTCTCCCTTCCTACCTTCTCTTTCCTCCCTTTCAATTTGTCTCCTATCCTTTTTCCTCTCTCCTCTCTCCTCTTCCTCCTCTCCTTTTCTTCCTCTCCTCTGTCCTCTGTCCTCTGTCCTCCTCTGTCCTCCTCTGTCCTCCTCTGTCCTCCCTCGATTCAATTCTCACTGATTTTACGCAGAATATCTTGAATTTTGTCGTTGTCTACCAGAAATTTGATAGATAGATTCTGTATCGCCTTCCCGATTTGCAATGTCTGACCCGAAAGTGAAGAAAGCGCTCAAAGATCTTGCCCTGCCGATCAAATCAGCAGTCACAAAGACAGCGCTGCTTCTTGCTGACAGCATTCGCAAGGCGAACAATGAAGCAGCTAAGGCTGAGGCAAGGAAAGAGCTCAGTGTGACGTACCAGGAAAAGGACATTGTGTGGGAAGGTGGTGTGATGCCTCTGCTCGCTGCTACTTTAGGACAGGCAAAAGACAAACTCATGCTCGAGTCCCTCAGCTTGTGTTTTGCCCTGGCGGTGGAGAACTGTCTGCCCAACGTAAATGCCTTAGAAAAAACAGATGTTGAAAAGCATCTAGTAGAACTCAGCAGCAATTCTTCTCTTATCGTTCAAACCTTCGCAAGTCTCGCAATCAGCCACATGTGCAAGCTAGGATCTAGCACTAGCAGAATGAAATTCATTGCAGCAGGGGCGGTTCGAAACCTTACCAACATAATCTCCTCTCCCGACTCTGAAGAGCTGCTAAGTAAGCAAGGAGTAAACAAGCAGATACCGTATCAGGTGATTTCCTCTAATTGTCCGTCTGCTTACTCATCTTCCTATTCTTCCCTGATGCCTTCATCTTTTTGGTTCTGATCCTCTGCTCTTTGAATCATAAGTGACCTAAACGAGGCTGATTACCAGGGTGGACAGCGGCAGGAAGCAGCAATTGCAGCCCTCGATGCAATACTCGTTGAAGAGGAGGCGAGGGAGCATGCGAGATCCGTTGGGACCATCCCGCATGTGGTAGGAATGCTTCAAGATGGAAAGAGCGGAGTCAACAAACTGGAAGAGAGTATTGGTGCATCACTGGAAATTGTCAAGAGTTCCTCAAACCGCCTGGATTTCTGTAGAGCAGGAGGAGTCGAAGCAGTCTTATCACTTGTTGATCACCCGTCTTCTCTGGTTCGGCGGAGAGCAGCTGCCTGCATCAAGGAGGTCGCACGAAGCCAGGAGCTGAGAATGAACCTGCTATCCTCCAACGCTGTTTATGGGCTCATAGCTTTGTGTTCTGTAAGCGAGGATCATCTAACACACGTGGAAGCAGCTGGTGCGCTGCTGGAACTAGCCAACGAAAGCAGTGGTAAAGCTGCGCTTCTGCAGTATCAAGCTGTGCCAGTGCTATCAACCCTCATCAAAGGAGAAAGGCGAGCATCGTTACATTTTCTACTGTTTACCCGCCTTTCCTCCCAAATCAATTCTCTTGCTTCTGCATGTTGACCCCAAGCCCTGCTGCTGCTCCTCTTTACCTCACTTTGATTCCGATATCACTTTCCTGATCTATTTTCAGGCTAAAAGATGCTGATGAGCACGTAATCGAGAACGTGCTCGCAGCCCTTGGCTTCATGTGCGCATATCCCGAGCAAAATCACGTACAGGAAGTCATTCGCTTGTCTAGCACAGGCTACACTGCTTTGCAGGATGAAGTCGGCAAAGTGGAAGTGATGGATTCCATCGTCACTCTCTGCAAGCACCGGAGCTTCAGGGTCAAGAATCAAGCAGCCGCTGCTCTTGCTTCTCTGTGCCTCCGCCACACCTTGAACAGCCGCGATGCTGGGAGGGCAGGGGCTTCACAAACCTTGTTTGAGCTTCTGCTCGCTTCCGAGGAGGAAACAATCCAAGCAAACGTGTTGAAGGCGATGCTTTCCCTTCTCCGCGCATTTCCTCCAAACGCCACGGTTTTGAAGCGGATAGGAGCTCCAGCTCAGCTCCTCAGCATAAGGCGAATTAGTTCATTCAAGCTCATTCGCAACCTCAGCGAGTTGGTGGCAGAGCACTTGGGATGTTGGTCATCTGTAGACGAAGAAGGAAATTCCCAGATCATGAGTCATCTATCGCTGAAATTAGCATACGACGAGCAGGTGTGCGCTCCCCTCCAATCTTTCAACTTTCACCTGTCAACTCTCAACACCTCCCTGTTTTCCTTTATTCTGCCTTGTTTGTTTGTGCCTGACTTGGAAAAGGCTGCAAGCTCTCCCGATAGGTGGAGCCTCTACCTGGTGAACCTACGAGCATGCAAGGAGGCTTTTCAACATATCGTGAGGACCGAGGAGGACGTGATGAGGTGGTGGAAGCTGGGTGGGCTAATTTTCGTGCTCTCTCTCTTTCCAAGCAATTCTTACTCGGGTATAGCTTGGCTGGACCTCTCAAGCTTTCGCCTAACGGACAAAGGCGCAAGTGGAGGAGCCCGAGGAAACGTCGGTCACCGCTCAGATCTTCACGGTGACATGTCGAATGTGTGTGCGAGCGCATGATGTTGAGATACTCTAGGGCTTGAGAAAACTTTGAAACAAGTACAAGACTTGCATGCAAAGTTTTCCTTGCTGAGCTTCTGCGACGTACTGTACATGGCAGGTGCCTCTTGATTAGGAATCATGCAGCTACTTAATGAGAGCAGCTGCGTTGGCGCTTGAAGAGATGGGATTATCTCCTGTCCCCATTATCTACGGCAGGCTCGACGATGAGATGGGGGATAGGGATGAAGAAGTAAGAGTACAGCCCTAGTGCAATTTTGTGATGCTCTTGTCAGGCAAGGCCTGAAGCTCCTGATTTCGAGGGACCAGAGTACGAGAAGCCAGATGGCAACCCAGGAGCAGGAAACGAGGAAACAGAAGAAGATAAAGCCGCGGAGAAGGAGGAACAAGCAGAAGGCGGGGACGAGGTGGAGGCGGCCCCGAAGGTGGTAGCGATGTTTTGGATTGGAAAATCACACTTGCGTTTAGGAGAAGCAGATTAAGGCATCAAAGGCGCAGCTGACAGTGCGATTGGAGAGGATGAGTCTGACGGATAGGGAGCAGGCAAGAAGGCGTTGACTGCCTCGTGCTCGTTGATTTTGAGCCACGCAGGTTGTGCTTGTCGGGATGTATATTGCGATGAAGGCCCGCTCAACCAACCCTTCTGCGACGATCTCTAATGCATGCTTGCACAATTTCGTTCAAGGTATTACTGATGGGCAAAATATCTTCTGATGTCATGGAGCAGGGCAGGACCGTCTTTCTGATACAGACCGGCACCAACAGGTCACTTCATCCTTGCTTGCTGGTCTTGTTGGTCAACTCAAGCCTGGCAGGATGAAATTTTCAAGGGACAGACGTCGCCTGCCTGCTCGACTTTGATGTCAAGCAAACATCTCCAGGATGATGTTAGAAGGTGCCGCACAACGCTGCCTCCTTCCTCATTAAGATTTGTCAACAGGCTTGCGTCTAGCAACGATCTCTTCCTCATTGAGGCCAAGGTGAGAACGGCGAGCAAGAGCACCACTAACATATGCTCAGGCTCTAATGGCTAAACTCTTCGCACTGGGTGCCACTTTCAATCCTCAAGAAGGAATCTATCTCTGACAGTAGCTTGTTGCCATGATTGAACTTGATCCTGATCATGAATAGACATCTGTAATGACGGCTAGGCAATCATGTGATGATCCTTTCGGTGATCTGCACTGCATTGTTTGATGCAGTGAGGCCTGCTGAGCCGCTGACTCTGTGAGGCCGGCGGGGGGCCTGGCATGCAGTCTCACTCAGTTGACACGGCCAGTCAATGACCTGCCGCGCCTTCATGGTTGAATGGCCGGCCCAGTGGCCGGCCCCTCGGGCCATACTAGCTATGCCTGGACTCCCGGACGCCGCCGTATAGGCCTCGGTGTAACGGTTTCAACGGTGACTTTCTAATTCAGTCCTCATGTGAACCATTCAAAAAAGGTTCTTTTTTTTTTAGGGCCAGGGGGTGGGGGTAGTCAAAATTGCTGGTTGATTTCGACTTCATGATCAGGTCCTGGAAGATTACGAACAGACAGGTCACAGGGGTGGGTCTCAAAGGCACAGTCGGGGGGTACACGTTTCTATGTGATCCCTTCGAGGAGGGTAGGTAGCAGACAATTTGTTAACTTCGGACACTTTGGGACGGTTAGAAGGATGTAAAGCGATAACAAGGGGTGGATTGTAGTGCTTTGAAGCGTCGTGAATGTGGGTGGGGTGGGTGATCCGAGCACAGGCGAACGGGCGAGTGTTGACATGGTGGCAATCGCTGCGGCGGCTACGGCAGTGCATGCAGCACATGCAGAGATTGAAGTGAAGGAAGTGTCGATATCAGATAAGCTCCTCCTTCCCGACGAGTCTCTTTGGATCAAAGAAGGTCTGCTGGAGAAAAAGAGAGTCGGCGCGACTGTCTCGTGGAATCCGAGACGAGCCGTGCTGACCAAGGATGCTCTCTTCTTCGCGAAGCCGAACACGACAATCATCATTGATGAGATTCCGCTAGAAGACATCGTCAACATACTCGAAGAGTTCAATGAGGAGGACTCCAAGGACATCATACGAGAAATCATTGTCGAGACATCACCCACTGGAATCAATGCTGGCCGCGCATACACCTACAAGGCTGACAGTCACGAGCACAAGGATTGGCTTGCCGCTGTAAAGAATGCGAAGACCGAGAAGCTTGAAGCAATGGAGTACGATCAACTGCTCCAGAAGGGAAAAATCCGACAGATCCGTGCTCACGTCAAGGCGATTTATGAGTCCAACCTCATGCAGATTGCTGTCGCTGGGTTGATTTTCATAAGCTTCATAACTGATCTTGCTCAAGCAGAAGTCTTGCCAGAGGAGGGCTCTGAAGCACAAGCAAAGTTTTTTAAGATGGACATCTTTTTTACTGTTATGTTCACGCTAGAGCTGTTTGTGAACTTATTTGCAAAATCTCACAACGCATTTGCTGAGTTTTTGTCCGATGGATGGAACTTGCTGGATGTTGTGATTGTGATAGCGTCTTTGTTGACTGTACTCGCATCAGACATCCCCTCGGTCAAGGTGTTTCGTCTTATCAGAGTCTTCAGGGTTGCGAGGATTTTCCGAAGGTTGAAGTCTCTAAATCGCATCATATCAGCATTGGCCTGTGCTGTCTTACCCGTCGCGAATAGCTTCCTTATCCTCGCTCTCGTCACCTGCATCTGGGCAGCTTTAGGAACTCAGTTCTTTCGGTTTCGTCACGAACCAATGTTTGGTTCCTTCTCCAAGTCTCTCTTCACTGTGAGCAAACAGTCTTGAGTTCCTTGTGACCTGCTAAACACTTTGATTGCAGATGTTTCAAGTCGTGACAGGCGACGGGTGAATTTTCTTTCCAGCAGCCACATGGAAGTCTGACTTTGTCTTTCCAGATGGGCCTCATCTGTAACTAGGGTACTGTTTGACGACGAGACACTGCGCAATGGGACAGATTTCGGCATTGCCCTATTCTTTGTCAGCTACGTTCTCATAGCTGGGGTGGTGTTGATCAATGTTGTCATTGCAGTTCTTCTTGACGAATTCATCTCATCTATTCAGAGAGAAAAGCAGGAAATCGAAAGACAAGAGAAGATTGAAGAGGAGAAACGAAAAGCTCTGACACGTTCGAATGGCATTCTAGACCCCCTCTCCTCTCACCTCTCGCATTTCGTTACTGATAGGGATCTTGCACGGAAGATAGCAGATGCTTATGAAAGGCTTGATAATGATGGATCTGGTGGATTGAATTATGAAGAGTTTCAGTTCGGGTTGAAGCGACTTCCTACATCTTCTCCCATCCATCTCCAAGATGATGATTTTGATCTTCTTACAGAAGGAGGAAAACTCTGTAACTCACAAGGAGAGTTTAGTTCCGAGCAGTTCCAAGAGATGATGCGAGAAGAGATCCGGCGATATGCACAGCGACAAGTGGCCAATGCAATGCAGGAGAGTACAAGCAAAGATATGCGCGCGTTGCTCCTTATGATCAAGTTGATGGATCAGAGAATCGACACGATCTCAAAGATCGTACATTCTTGGGGATATTCGAACAAAGGCATGGCGAGAATCATTGAGGTGTACTACCAACATGACAAAGATGATAGCGGTCAGCTGAGCAAACAAGAAGCAACGGATGCTTTAAAACAACTCTCCATTCCTGTATCAAAACATGATGAAGTTCTGCAGCGCCTTGACAGTGACGGGGACGGCACTATTACGAAAGAGGAGTTTTACTCGATCTTGGAGATCATAGAAGAATTGTCTGATGAGAGGCTGAGAAACATTGAGAAGATGGTTGCCTCCTTACAACGAACAACCCTTCCTCAAACTGTTAGGGCTGACGCATCAAGCCATTATTACTCAAATCCTTGTAAGCAGAAGTAACTTACTTCAACCTCTTACTCATTGTCGTCTATCAGCTCCCTCTCAGGAACAACCGCAGCGATCTCCGTTGGACGACGTAAGTGCCTCTGACACTTGTCTCCTTGCGTGCCTCACTTCGTTGTTTGACCAGGGCAAAGAACCCAAAGCGAAGCCGCGAAAGAAGAGGAGTAGTGATGTGGGTCGGGTGCTCAAATCTGCGACTTTGGAGAGGAAGCTGTCTTTGAACTCCTTCATGGACGGGGGGATTCTCAACAGTGCCGTGGACCTTGTTTTGACTGATGGCGCGGACAAAGAAGAGACAGACAAAGTCCAAGAAAAGGCCAAGGACAAGTTTGTGAACACCATGATGCGGCACAAGAAGTCTGGTTCCACGCTGAGAGTTTACTCTCGCCTTGACCACGAGGGGCATTCGTAGTAGATGTAGCATAAAACTACTCCCGCAGATGAATAGAGACAAGTGATCCAGAAACGAGCCGGGCGAGAGTGCTTGTGGTGAATGGTTAAAGAGCAGAACTTGCACGGAAAGGATGAAAAAAACAGGAATGATCTGACATGAAGTTTCAGAAGTTGACGTACCTGAAGGCGTCGCTTATAAATTTTGAGACCTGAGGAGAGGGCGGAGAGGGAAGCAAGGCTTCCACGTGGGACAGTCAAGTCGGGTGGCACTGCCGAGTAGTGAGATCTCTGTTAGACTAGGTGCTCTAACCAACCTTGTAAGCCCACTAAGCATTCTAATGAACTAAACTTCTGATACTGCTGATAGGGTGTCACTTTTAATAATGAGGCTTGATACAGTAGCGTTGGACAGCAGCATCGAAGTCGAGCCTGTTGAGACAGGTTGACATGCTTCTGACTTGACCATCTTGGCGGCGAGCATGAGACGCAGAGTTCTTGTCATGTCAAAATGTCAATGTATGATCTCATGACGACGAGATTCTAAAAGTCTCATATCAGGAGAGACAGCAAGTCTCATATCAGGAGGGACAGCAAGCCTCATATCAGGAGAGACAGCAAGTCTCATATCAGGAGGGACAGCAAGTCTCATATCAGGAGAGACAGCAAGTCTCATATCTGGAGAGACAGCAAGTCTCATATCAGGAGGGACAGCAAGTCTCATATCAGGAGAGACAGCAAGTCTCATATCAGGAGGGACAGCAAGTCCTCATATCAGGAGAGACAGCAAGTCTCATATCAGGAGAGACAGCAAGTCTCATATCAGGAGAGACAGCAAGTCTCATATCAGGAGAGACAGCAAGTCTCATATCAGAAGCGACAGCAAGTCTCTCCTGCAAGTCGCTGATATGACGCTGATGTCGAACAAACTGTCATTGCAAAAAAAAAAAGTTCTTTTAGCTTACAGATTAATTTGCCAAAACCAGGTTGAATGGCTCCGACAGGCTATGCATGGCAAGAAGCGTTTGGATGGCATTTTGGCGGTAAGAAGGGAAGGAGTAACAGGATAGGAGAGCTGTGGATGGTGAGGAAGAGGAGAGGCAGAAGAGGTAAGGGGGCAGGCAGGCAGGCAGGCAGGCAGGAGGCAGGCAGGCAGGCAGGCAGGCAGGCAGGCAGGCAGGCAGGCAGGAGGCTGGGAGGCAGGGAGGGGCGAAAAGGGATGGAGAGGAAGGGGGGTACAGGGACGGAGGGAGCCTTTCCGTTTCGTGCCCATAAGAGAAACTCGTAGGAATGTCATTTCATGAGCGCCCATGCAAGCGCACCCTATTCGTTCAGCCGATCCAACACGTGGAAACGCCTGAGAGCAAGAGAAGAATCCATTCGCTCCTGCAAGTCAGTGGGTTGCTCAAAGAAACTGTCCCCATAGACTCGCTTCCTGCAACATTAGACGAGGTTCTTCGCGTTCATAGCCAGGAGTATTTGAGTGAGATCAACTTTCTTGTTGCGACAAACACTCTAACGCCCATTCGAAGCAAAACTCACAGAATTGAGCGAATGTGAAGGTGGTGATGCGGGAGACTGTGCTCCTTTCAGCCCAGGTGGACTTGGAATAGCTCTGCTTGCTGCTGGATCTGCCATTAGCATGGTGAACGCTGTCTTGGACGAAAGGATTGTCAATGGATATTGCCTCCTACGCCCTCCTGGTCACCATGCGGAGCGAGACCGAGGCAGAGGTTTCTGTTTGCTCAACAACATTGCAATAGCAGCAAAGCACGCGATCGAAGTAAGAGGTGACGACTTTTTCTTCCCTCTTGTTCTATTGGATTGAACCCCATCAGGACTAGAGAGGATCGTAATCATCGATTGGGATGTACATCATGGCAATGGAACCCAACAAGCATTCTGTAAAGTGAATGAAAGTAGTTTTCGTGCCTGACGATAAAGTAGATGATTCAGACAAAGTAATGTTCATCAGTATCCATCAAGATCGCAAGTAAACCTCCGCTTTGACGACATGCAATGATCGTGAAAGCAGTTATCCTCTTGACAGTGGGTTTGCTGATGAACTTGGCCAGGTGATGTGAGGAGATGAGAGGGGGTTTGACTCTTTGCAAAGGGGCTTGGCCTTGGATTCAATTGCAACCTACCTCTTCCTCCTGGCAGTGGCGATGGGGCCTACAGGTGGCGGAGAAGCGCAGGATCTCATGAGCAGATGACGAAACTGTTAGGGAAGCTATCAGAGCTGCGTGCTCTCTCGCTGAAACCAGCTTTGGCGATGAAAAACCGCAGTTGGCAAGTTCAATCGCTTTCTATTGCGCGTACTTGAATTGCATGAGCTCTGTCATCGCGTGTCGATGTAATGTGCACGAGTGTAAGATGCACGACTGAGATGGTTTGACTTGATCTTCGTTACTTAGTGTTTTCACTTATACCCACGAGGATGATTGTTTTGTGTATTTCAGATTATGATCAGCTGTGGATTTGACTGTTCTTTCTTCGATCCGCTCGGTTCCATGATGTGTCACTCCGGTAATGATTGATGTTTTGTTTTGTTCTTGTCGATCATTTTCCTTCCAGAAACCTTCAGGTATCTTACACAACAGGTCAAGGAGCTAGCAGATCGGTAAGTTTATCTTGAAGTGTCTGGACGATGATGTGAAATTTATTTATGCCAGATGCTGCTCCGGCAAGTTGATTCTGCTGCACGAGGTCTTACGAGCATGGATTCGCTTCGATCTGAACCCTTCATGCATATACAGGGCGGATACTCTGAAGTGTACGCGCCTTTCTGTGGTCTAGCGGTGATGGAGGAGCTCACGGGTATCAAGAGGTCATATTTTTCGAATATCTACTTTCGGCTGTTTGATTCTAATTGCTGACATCTTCCTGTCGTCATCTTTGATGGATCCAGTAAAGTACAAGACCCTTACCTTGAGGAAGTTGCCATGCTGGGTCAACAAGAGCTGCAGCCACATCAACAGCATGCGATAAACTCCTCGCTGGAGAAGGTCAGAGAGGCAAGAAAGCAGAAGGTTAGTGTTGCGCAGAAGTTGAGCGGACACTCAGCATGTTGCAGGTGTCTATGTGCTAAAGAAATTCATTACTTTTCTCTTAGACAGTCATCTTAGAGATTACTTTTGAAAAGACATTCCCCGTCAAATGCCAAGGTGCACAAGATTTTGTTAAAGTTTTACTGAGAAGAGAAGACGAGAAGTTGTTGTCTGACATCTAGCGTCATGGCATAGAGTGTCGTCGCTATAACCACAAGATTCCATCCCGAATATTGAGAGGGGATCCGTCAGGCAACTGATTCTTCGTCGAAAGCATCCTGGCCTACAAGACAAGAGCGCTCATTGACCAACCACTCATTCGTCACTCCTCACCTGGTTGACGTGAAATTGAGCTGCTTCTTTGGCTTCTTGTGTCAGCTGAACATTTAAATTCAACCTCATCAATTTCTCATCCGCCTTAACATTCAGCATGATCAGCACGGGTCTAACGCTTTAGATTCGTCTTCACCTCGGCTGGAGGGTGTTCTTCCTCGATGGTCAAGCTGGCTGCGATCATCGCATCCTTCTTTGTTTTCCTGTTCTTCTGTTTGGAGGATTGGATCACAAAATGGTCCTTGTGATCTTTCGGTGCTGTGGATTCGGCAGGTGCTGACTTGTCCGTCTTGGCACAAGCGATTGGAGAGTGCTGCGTTTCCTCTTCAATGAATCTGATTTTTACGGATCGAATTTTGCTGTCAGGCTTTTTATCCAGAGGGGAGCGAAGGTTTGAGCGATTGAGAGGAGACGAGGTCATTGGAGACTTGAGCGCTGACTTGTATCTCCCGATAGGTGAGGTTGGCGACGGAGCGTCTTGCTGTTCAGATGCCTCAAGAGACGCAGATTTGAGCTTGCGGTGGCTAGACAATTCTTCGGGAGAGCCTGCAACTGTTGTTGTGATGAGTTTTGCTATGCAACAGCAATTGAAGAATTACCTGTCTCCTGCTGGTGTACATGTTCCTTTTTCGATTTTATCTTCTTGCTATAATTCGATTGCTTGCAGCAGCATCAGGTATCTCAAAAGAAATGCAAGGAATGATTTACCAAGATGGGCGAGAAAGCGCCGGAGACATTTTCGAACAAGGAACTCACTGCACCTTGCTGCATCATACAACATGAATCAGATAAATTTTTGGTGATGTATGAATAGAAAATTTACGGCACATACCAAGTAGACGCCCATTTCCTCCCCGACCACTCCTTGCTTTCCCATGTCAGACCTTGCCGTGCTGTTCTGAATCTTGATCACTCAGCAATTCAGCTATTGAAGCGCATTCATCACCGATGAGCTGTCCTGAAATCCAAACATTCGCTGGACTTAACGATCTTTGAAATAACTGCAAACAATGGAGTGATTCACAGGGCCACAAGACAAGGTCGGAGGGAAAATATTTCTCTCTAGGCAAGGCAGTTCTTGTTCTTGAGCGAGAATTGTGAGACCCGGACGATCAACATGAGCCGGGCGAAGAAGGAGAGAAATCAGTTTATGGGAGAGGAAGAAAGGAACGAGGAAATGGGGTAAGAGAGGAGGGGGAGGCTGGGTCTGAGAAGTAACGAAATGTAGGTGATCAATGGAGCAATCGACCAGAAAAGCAGAGGCGACTGAATGGGAAAGAGGAGGAAGGGTTAGGGATCAGATCCACTAGAGGAGACGCCAGGCAGGACATTTATAGACGGTGCGGGCCAGTGAACGGTATTCTGGGAGGGTACTAGGGTACTTCCCTGCACTTGTACCCTCGTGGAGACTATCATTGTAGGGGTCCTTCCAATGATGGGAGAACAAAGGGTGGGTACCCAACGGAGCCCCAGTGGTGTTCGTGAGGGGACTAGTAGTGATACCTCAGCGGGGGTAGGGTACACCAAAGTCAATCACAAGAAGTCAAAGGGTCCGAGGCAATGCTAGGACCTCCTACGGCGAGGTGGGTCATGGGGGCCTCAACTTACTCGTTGATGTTAACGTTCGATCGGTTAAGATAGCGGCTCCCGGAGCCTCGGACCCTCCGCCGGTCGTGAAAGTCACGTACCCTTGAGCGAGCCAAAAAAAAGCCGGCCTGAAGCTTCGGAAGTTCACTCAGTGCCGACTGACCCAGCCTGTGCCCGGCACGGTCCAACCGGACTCCGGGACTCAGCCAGACTCCGGCGGCCGGGCCCGCCCGACCGGGTGCCCGGCCGGGGCCCGGGGGGCCCGCCGGGGCGGCGGGTGACTCACTGATCAGTGCCTGGCTGCGGGGCCCGTTCCCCGGGCCCGGCAGGCCCAGTGGTCGGACTCCGGTGAGGGCCCGGGCCGGCCGCCGGGCCGAAACGGCTGGCGGCCGGGCCCGCGGGCCGCCGCGCCGGGCCCGGGTCACCGCGCCGTTGCGCCGGGCGTGCTTGGCACTGAAAGTGCAAGAACGTTATGAGCCTCGGTGTTTGCTGTCTCCCACCTACCCCTTTGAATTTCATACCCTCCCTATTGCCAGCTCAGTACCCTTAGAATATCAGATGGGTGATATCACCCACCATCGAAACCTGTTGTCATACCCTACCCCGTAATTTCTCACGACTCGTTGGATAATCAGAGGGTAGGGTTAATGCTAAAGGATGAATCGTTGGGCCTGCGTGGCATGCCTGATGGTTCAGAAGGGGTACTGAAAGACATATATGGGGTAGTAAGGGGTATTTGAGGGTAGGGGTGTATCATGATACCCACCTTTCTTCCCAGAAATCTTCTATTCAGAACACCGGTCCAAACAAGCTTTGCGAACGGTACCCCACATCGACATACCCCACCTGCCCCGTTCAACCACCCTCACCCCTCCCTGCACCAGTTCCATCCAGGTGGAGCCAGGCCAACATGGCAGCGGCAGCTCTGAGATGGACGGCAATCATGGCGGCGCTTGCGGTAAGAGGGAGGAGGAGAATTAAGCAAATGAAGAGAGGAGATAGCAAACAGCTGAAGAGTTGAGGAAACTGCATTGAGAGCCAGGAGGTGGGCGTAGGGAAGGTCAGGCCGATGAATTGTGAAAAATGGCAAGAGGGAAACTGGGCAGCCATACTTTCAGGCTGCTGCCTCAGGATTGAAACCACCTGTCTGAGAACAGCAAGGAAATCAAGTATTCCAGTACATTGTTCGCATACAGTAGGCAAAAGGGTTCTTCCGAAACTTGTAGTACAGAATGGTTATTCCTCAGTGGTGGAGCAAGCGGACTCGTGAAGTTCGCATTGTTTTTTTTATGCTTCTTGACGTGATATTGAAGTCCTTCCCTCCTCCGGGATTGTTAGAATTGTCCTTTGTTGATACAAGGATTATCTTTCGAGACCTTGATGTTCATTTTGTTTGATGGCAGGTTGTATTTGGCTCGAAATATCGTCGAGGGGATAATGTTCCTCTTTACGCGAACAAGGTAGATCACAGTTGTTGAATCAACATGCTGTACGTGACTTGTTCGGGTAGGTTGGACCCTATGGAAATCCTTCTGAACAAGTGAGCCTCGCTTACCATCCACCCCGCATTCTTGACCCCGGTTGTTCCAGTACGAGTACTATACCCTTCCTTTTTGCGCGCCCAAGGTATGTACTCCCAATTGTGACGTGAAGAAGGAGTAGTAGTCTAGACAGAAGGAGACCAGGGGACGAACACATCAAGGGAGTAAGATATGTAGGAAGTGAGGAGAGATGGTGATGGTGATGGCCAAGAAAAAGAAATCGAAGATGATAAAAATGGACGTTCGCAGGAAGAGGAGAGGAAACCTCATCATCTTGGGGAGATCCTTGTCGGAGACAGGATGATGAAGACGCTGTTTGCACTTCCCTTCTTGAGTAAGCTGATAGGACGAGTGGTATCTTCTGACGTGGTGACTTCTAGTTCCCTTCGAGTCCAGAACATTATGTTCCTATACTCTTAAGCCCAAGGAGATTGAGATGTTCCAGCGGGCAATTGACGAGGACTACTACTTCGAGTTTATCTATGGTAGCAAATGCTTCCTTGCGCCAGTGCCTGCTGTGAACGTTTTCTTGCTCATCAGATGACATTCCTCTTTGGGGCTTCATCGGCGACAAGTCTTCCGAGCTTGTGAACGGCGAGAACGTGACTATGTACAGTCTGTTCACCAACTACATCTTCACCATTGCACACAATGGTGAGGAGATCCTGGAGATAACCTGGGAACACGATCCAGAGCAGAACCTTGACATCACGGACTCGACGAATCCAATCGACGTTCACTTCATGTACTCCGCGAGGTGGGTTAAGTCTGTACACAAGACACGCGACCACGTGCTAGAGCACAAGGAGTCTCCGCATCAGCACCTTGAGATCCGATGGTTCTCAATCTTCAATTCCATCGTCACCGTCCTCCTGCTGACCGGCTTCCTTGCGACCATTCTGATGCGAGTGTTGAAGAACGACTTTGCTCGGTATGCGCACATGGAGGAGGAGACAGGGATGGATCAGGATGAGAGTGGCTGGAAGCTCGTCAATGGCGACGTCTTCAGGTTCCCCCAGCACAAGGAGCTTTTCGCTGCCGTCCTTGGCAATGGAGCTCAGCTGCTGTGCATGTGCCTTGGAGTGCTCTTCCTCGCATGCCTCGGGCCTTACACGAGGTACAACCGCGGGGCCCTGCTGGTAGCAGCCCTGCTGATCTTTGCGCTGACATCGGGCATAAATGGATATGTCGCCGGTAACCTTTACACCAAGATCGAGGGATCCAATTGGGTCTGGGCGCTTGTCACCTCTTACTTGCTCTTTCTTGGCCCCTTCTTCATAATGGCAACCTTCCTCAACTTTGTTGCAGTCGCCTACAACTCGTCGGCTGCTCTTCCCTTTGGAACCGTTGTCATTATTCTCCTCATCTTAACTCTCGTCAGCTTCCCTCTCAACATCGTTGGCGGAATCTCTGGGCGAAACTTCGCGGGCCCGTTTGAGGCTCCGTGCAGAACCAACAAACTTCCTCGAGAGATTCCTCCTCTCCACTGGCACAGACAGGCACCCTACCAGATGGTGATGGCTGGGTTCCTCCCCTTCAGCGCCATTTACATCGAGCTCTACTATGTCTTCGCCTCTGTGTGGGGCAGGCAGCTCTACTCCCTCTACGGGATCCTCCTCCTCGTCTTCCTTATCCTCATCATCGTTACCTCCTTCATCACCATCGCCTTGACATACTTCCAGCTGGCGGTGGAGGACTACAGGTGGTGGTGGAGGAGCATCTTCAGCGGAGGATCGACAGGCTTCTTTATCTTTGCCTATTGCTTCTATTACTTCCGGTACCTCTTCTTTTTCCTCCTGGCTGCTGTTTCGCTTTCCCCCGTTTCGGTTGCTTCCTTCTTGTGGACTGTCCTTTCTTGCTCCTTCGTCGACCTATTCGTCATTCTGTTGCCCCTGACCTGACATCTTGCAGGTTCAAAGCTCATATGACAGGTTTCATGCAAACTTCCTTCTTCTTTGGGTGAGAGGACGAGGAGGGAGGGAAGATTTCAGCGCCTGATGCTAGTGCTAGGTACATGAGCATGGTCTGCTATGGCGCTTTCCTCATGCTCGGAACTGTTGGTTTCTTCTCTGCCCTCGCCTTTGTCCGCTACATCTACCGCTGGTCAGTACCTGCCAACATCCCCACTCTCTACATCTGCATCTGCCTCAACATCCACCGCTCTTCTCTCCCTTATCTCCAGCTTTGCCATCAATTCCTCTTTCCCAATCCCTGTTCCTCTTTCTCTGTTTTCCCTGCTGCATCATCCTTTCTAGTTCCTTGTGGTGCGTGAATCCTCGTTTTGCATGCTCGTGCTTGTTGCTTGTTTTCTCCTCCTCTGATTATTCTTGGCTCTCTCCCGCTGCCTGTTTACCATCCTCCACGCTCTTCCTTCAAGTTTCGCATGTGCTTCAACTTACTTCTCTGCAGCATCAAGTGCGATTGATTTCACTGGCATCTGCTGCCTCCTCCACTCTCCCAGCTGGTGTACAACAAACATCCCGCAAACTTTCGGATTTCAGCTGCCGACTGCCAACGTCATTTCAAGTTGCCTGTCACACCCCAAGCTGCTAGTAGGCTTGACCACTCTTCTTTAACAAAATCAAGTGTAATCCCCTCCTGCCGCATTTCTTTCCTGCTCCTGCTCCTGCTCCTGCTCCTGCTCCTGCTCCTGCTCCTGCTCCTGCTCCTGCTCCTGCTCCTGCTCCTGCTCCTCTCGTAGTCATCTATCACTGTCGCGTGTGCTTGCAATTGCCGTGGACTTGTCCGCACTGCTTGCACAGCGGCCTGCGAGGTGAGGAACATAAGAAGGTACGGCTAGTTTGGGTGAAGAGAGACGAGCAGAGGAAGTGCAGGAGGGATAACGCTCAAGAACGAGAGGATGGGACTGAGAAGGACAAGGGAGGAGAAGCAAAGAGGAGCGAAGGAGGAGGGCAGCAGAATCAACCTGCCATCTGCTGTGTGCGACTTCTTCATCGCTTTCCTCATGTGCTTGGGCAGTCGCTGAGATTCACTCGATGAGGCAGGCACGGGAAAGCAAGTCGAACCTTGCGGAGAGGATCGAACGAGTCTCTCATGTTGGCAGGCAGCTGCTCCACATTCTTGCACAACCTGCAGGGGAGAACGGAAGGAGAGAGCAGGAGGAGGAGCATGAGAAGCAAGAAGAAGAGCAGGAGTAGCATAAAGAAGAGAAGGATAAGGTGGAGCAGTTGCAGGAGGAGGAGAAGGAGAAGGAACAATATGAAGATTTGACAGAGGATGGAAAGTGAGAAAGAACGAATTCATGAGAGTTAGTGACAAGTCCAACCGCAGGGACAGATGATTCCTAGAGAGAGCCAAGGATTCTGATCGTGAATACTGGATAGATGAGAATGGGGAGTAAAGAGGAGAAGGGAGAAAGGTCTAAAGAGAGTAATAGGACGAGAAAGACAAAGTAGTGGAAGGAAAGCGAGGAGATTTGAAGAGAGTAGTAAGAAGAGAACGATGATGCGGTTCAAGGACAGAGAGGAGGGTAGCTGGGATTATATCATCACCGGCAGTTTGTCTTGTCAAACATTTTTTCTGCCATCCACCAGGTGTGAACCTGATTGGGCTGAATGATGGGACTGTTTTCATTACAGTTAGACGATGAGAAGCAAGCAAAGGACAAAAGCGAAGGAGAGACATTGAGGGGGTCCGCAGGTAGATCAAAAATTGTAGGCACATCACAAATCGAGCAAGAGAGCGGGCAGGAGGGAGGAGGGGAGGGGAGGGACAGACAAAGAGGGGGGGGAGGGGGGAGTTGGAGGGGGAGCTGAAAAAAGTGTGGTGGGACCGAGCAGAGGAGAGACAGGAAGAACTCACCGTGTCTCGACGTACCAGAAGCTCACATAAGGGGCTGTCTTATGCTCTCCACTCTTACGTATCTGGCACAACCTCCATCAGGGCTCTGCTCCTTGTGCTCTTCACTTCATCCATGCTCTCCCCACATCTGCTTTTCCTCCTTCTCTAGCTCGTTTGCTCACCTGGCCCTGCGCGTTGGCCACGTGCTTGGGGCTCTCATAGACGTAGCGACCAGGAGGCGTGAGAAACATGGGGAGGCGGCCGCGAAGGGAGGAGGAGAAGTAGTCCTTGGTGTAGACGTAGTTAGGCACGAGGAGAAGCCAGGGCTTGTCGTTGACGCTGAGCCAGCGGAGGAAGCGAGGGATGTGGTCGAGGGAGTAAGGAGGGTTGGTGACGACCATGTCGTGCTCGGGGATTCTCTTGCTCTTCACCATCTCATAGAAGTCTTCGTTCTTGTTGTAGACGTTGGTGAAGCCCAGGCTGGCCAGGTGTCGCTTCATGGAGCCCGTGCAGAAGAAAGGGTCGTAGATGCGTAGCTCCGACGGCTTCTTGCTCGCTGCCTCTGCCATCTTGTGAAGCAGCGGCAGGATGTGTTCATATGCTTCTCTTGGCGTCTCCGCGTGGTCAGCGTCGGTCGTTTCAAATGAGTGTCGTACAAGCGCTGGTTGCGATGTCGGGGACTCGACACCTTCTCTTGTCCTGTTATGAGAATCTTCGTCCTCTTCGCTCTCGCTGCTCTGCTTCTTCTGCTTCTTCTTCAGATTCTTCTGCTTGTCTCTTTTTATTTTCTTTCTCTCTGTCTCTTCTTCTGAATCCTTGTCATTGCTTCCATCGTCTTCCTCCTCCATCGTCTCTTTCTTCTTGTTCTTCTTCTTATCCTTCTTCTCAATCTTGACTTGCACAGATACATCCTTGTCTTCTGTGTACGTTTTCAATTCAGAAGACTCCTTTTTCTTCTTTTTCTTCTTCTTATCCTTCGTCTGCTCATTGACCTCCTCCTCCACCACCTCCTGACTGTCTTGCACGATCTTAAGTTTTCTCTGAGCCTTTTGCTTCTTCTTTTCCTTCTTCGACCTCAACATTTGATCGGACTCGGAATCATTCAGCGCGCCAGGTTTCAGTGAGTCGGAATCCCTTTCCATCCCAGTCTTACCCTTCACATGTTCTTCGGAATCGTCGTCGATTCTTTTCCGTTTCTTGCTCGAATCCTTGGTCTTCATCTCAGAGCTTTCAGCCGGCGGGACAAGGCCTCCACGCCGTCCACCAGAGAGGCTGCGTGGAGGTGAACCAGAGACAGAGGACTGTGAGAGGAGGGGAAGGAGTAGGATTAGGAGGAGGAGGAGGAGACGGTCGAGTGACTGCGACACTTCTGTTGGTTGCGAGGTATCAGGAAAATGACTAATGAGGGAGGATGCGAGGCAGCGTCTCCACGTTGCGAGGACACGGGGGCAGTCGGAGGCGTTCACGACCTGCACTGATGAGCAATATCAGCTACAGGATACTCCAATAAGAACTGCCACGAAATTGAAGGCACAGAGCTAGAGAAAGAAAGCAAGAAAGGTGAAGAATTGTGTTGGCGGTGTTGACAGTAATGGTAATGGAGTTGGTGGCGTGAAGATCTGGATAATGGCGTGGATGATGATGAGGATATTGCATATGAGCAGGAGCAGGAGCAGGAGCAGGAGCAGGAGCAGGAGCAGGAGCATTAGCAGGAGCAGGAGCATTAGCATTAGCAGGAGCAGGAGCAGGAGCAGGAGCAGGAGCAGGAGCAGGAGCAGGAGCAGGTTGGGGGGCTTGCGCGGTTATGGTGGAAGCGACTTGAGAGGAGATCCGACTGGCCTCATGGCTTCCCCCGTCCTCCATGCACATGTTGATACACTTGTTCTAGTTCTACAGTCACTTGACTCAGTGACCTCGCCAACCTGGGCCCGGCCGGGCCCCGGCCCCGGCCCATACCGTGGCATGACTCGGGATACTTGACTCGGAGTGAAATGCGGCCAGCCTGAGGCCGCCTCAGAGTGGCAGCCTGTGCGGCCGTACTGGCTGTAGGCTTCAAAGTTAAGTTAAAACTAACAGTGCCAGGGACGGTACGCGGCGCCCGGTACTAGGCTGAGGTACCGTACGCCGCTGCACGGCGGCCGCAGTCTTTCTGCAGTACGGTATTCCCGAGTCACTGAGTCCCAGGGCCCCCTGCCGCAGTGCCAGGCTGAAACCCGCCGGGCTTCGGTGAAGGGCCGTCCGCCGGTTCAACGGTTCCTGGCAACGGTTTCAGTGCCGCCGGTACCGTACTACTGAGTTTTGCCCGGCGGCGGCCCGGCGACCGTAAGTAGGCTACGTCACTGTGACTCCGATCACGGAGGGGGAGCCTGGAGGCGGCAACTTATTTAATAGTCGAGTCCGAGTCCGAGTCAGATCATCCGCTGCCGCGTACACTGCCGTGACCGTGATGATACTAGTGGTACTACAAACTTAAATCTTCCAATCACGATCATAGTAGGAGACCCTGACACTGTAAGTTTCAACTTTCAGCAGGTCTAGCGGACGGTTGCTTGTGACCGTTCAGCATGACTAGGTTGATCATACTGAGGTGACTAGAGCCTCAGTGAGGAGTCTAGGGGGATGATATGTGACACAATGAGTCGCAGCAAATCGAATTTGTGGACTCTGCGACTTGACGGGAACAGGGCCAAAGGTTATCTCAGAACATAACATCTCACAAATCATGTAACGAAATTTATATGAAGTACATAGCGTCTCAAATACAAGACTTGACGACTGACATTTTCAGTCTTACAAGATGGCAACCTGAGACTTGTACCAGTGAGCAGGAGGAGGAACGGTGTATCCAAGTCCAGCCTTGGAGGGATCAGCGAACATCACAGCGAGCTCGCCAGGAGGAGGCAAGCAGCTGGTCTCGGATCCGCCGACGCAGTTGTGGACGGCAGCTGCGACTGAGTTACACCCGCAAAATAGTAAGCAGTGCCATTTGTACCCATGTTGTTGGTGATTTCAGGGCCAGCTCCGAGAGCAGCAAGAGGGACAATCTTGAAGAGCATACTGCAAGCAAGGTTCATGGAATGACCACACGCACAACATGACAACATAATGTTCCCTCTTCCTACCACAGTCATTCTTGCAATGCACAGGTGTATCGTGGCATAAATGTGGCACTTGTAATGTCCCTTCTCTTCAAAACTCAGCACTGTTCATTCTGCAACGAGCATTCCTCGCTCCCTCCGCATCTCATCCGAACAATCCGACCTCCATCGCAGTCATCAATGTATTTGAGTTGTGTTTTCATCAATTGATTGGATCCTGGGCGTGCTTAATCGGACATTCTATTCCTCCTTCTATCCTCCCTCCACTCTCCTTCATCCCTTCGCTCCCTCCCGCTGTCTCATTTCGACTTCCCGCCGCCATCTCCTTGACTCTTCGCTGTTTCTTCGGTGTATCACCCACCCCTCAGGTGCAAACTACCCTACCGCTGTATTAGCCAAGGGTACCCACCCAATCGCTCGCTCGCGCTCGGTCTCAGTGAATTGCCCCTTTGAAAAAATAACACCCAGGGGTACCCCACCACGGGCATGGTTTTACTTCCTGTATAACCCCACCCTACCATCCCACTCCTCCACCCCCACCACCGATTTGATATCGTACTACCCTATAGAATATGGGTACAGATGTTGCTCAGAGGCGATGTGGGTTTAAAATCTAGAACTAAATAAAATATTTTAATCTGTACGACAACAGGTAAATTTTCTTAAGATTTGTGTACCATCAACAATAGACTAATAGATATTTCTTGTACCCACCTACAGATAGCGATTGAAGGTTAGTGGGGGGGTAGGGGTAGTCATTGGGGGGAGGAGCAGGTTTCACGGTCAATTTTCTCCCTAAACCCTCTAAACCCTAAACCCTAAACTCGGTGTCGGAGATTCGAAGCCCAGGGGTGGGTATGTCAAAATGATGGGGTCCTTTTCAACCCAACGATAATGACTTGCTCAAAGGTGGGGTACTATTTGGGGACATTATGGGGTCCAAAAAGTTGAAACAATCCAAGAGGGAGGGGTAGGTATGAACGTGGGGTACAAGAACACTGACTCTTCGGCGTGTACGAATCGTCAGGTCTACAATGGTGAGCAGAGGAACGCGCCGGAGCGACGGAGGGAGGGAGGGAGGGAGTCTTGTCGGAGATGAAAGTTGTGAAATGTGATGGTTTGAGTCCTTGCATGCGCTCATCTCCAAACTGTTCGCCTTCTGCTGTACCTGCTCGCCTTCTTTCGATGATTGTCATTTCTGACCTTCGGTGCCGGAGCTGTCTGTTTCGAGTTCGATCCATTTGCGTCTGTTTTCTAATTTCTATGAAACTCAGATCTTCGCTCTCGTCCCACTTTCTGCTCTCGGTGCCGGACCTGAGATCACCAACAACATGTGTAAGTGAATTAATTGGTTGCGCTTTCTAATTTTCTCGTGAACTTGTTTCGTTTAGATGCTCCCCACAACTGCGTTGGTGGATCTGAGACCTCCTGCCTTCCTTCCCCGGGAGAGCTCAGTGGCATGTTCGCTGATCCTTCCAAGGCTGGTATGGGATACACCGTTCCTGCTCCTTCCCACTGGTACAGGGGAACTGCCGCCTTTCTCTAAGTCTGAGAACCTCAAAACCACAAAGCGTGATTGGGATTGAAATGCCAAGTTGATCTTGAATTGTCTCTCCTCCCAAACAGCTAGCAGATTCACATGATCACAGTGGATGTTGTTGTCTCACAGTGGATGTTGTTGTCTCACTTGATCTCTGGTGCTTTTTTTTTCAGCCATCCAGTCAGAACTGCCTCACTACTCAGCCATGTATAACACTGAGCGCGACTTGGTTTTAGAGGGTGAGACATGGGAATTATTTCCCCGACAAGACCAGGTAGCCGTAGCGCTATGCTGCCACGTCACGAAGAAGATTGTTAAGCTTCGTAGGGCAACATTTTTCGGTGTGCAGCCGCCAGCAGATAAGGGAAAGGAAGTGACCGGTTCCTTGACCCTTCACAACCACGTGTCTTGATCCTTCACAACGTGTCTTGATCCTTAACTACGTGTCTTGATCCTTAACTTAGTGTCTTGATCCTACTAGCTCCTTTGCTTGGATTGTCAGATCTTTAGATGTTCTCACTTACAACGATGTGCATGTCCTCTCCAATTTCCCACGTCATCCTGAAAGCCGCCTGTAGTGCGTCGGTGAGGTCACCACTGCATAGCACCCTCACGGACATACCCTCATCTGCCGCAACTTCTTCCTGGAGTCGAAAAAGGTCGACTGCATCCTCCGAGCCCACACTTTCTCTCTCCAGCGTTGCATTACACCAGTACTGTTAGCGAGGCTCTTGGCCATCGCCTCATACTCTCCCAACCCTCTCGCCACAAGCTCTCCCACACCCAACGCGAGCAAGAAGCTGCTAGGTGGGCGGCTTGAGAACGATTCGCGAGGGAAAGTGAGGACAGGAAGCCCCGCCCACAGAGCGTCTAGGGCTGTAGAGTGAGCAGAGTATGAGTCCGTGTCGAGGAAGAGATCAGCAGACGCCAAACGATGCAGGTGAGCCTCCTTGCTCGGGATCTGCCGGACAAAGACAAGAGAGGAAGCAGATAGACCTGCTCGAGCTGCCGCAGCCTTCAAGTTCGCCTCCAGAAGCTCGTGCTCCTCATGCGAGTTCTGCCCCTGCCTGAGCCTGATGCTGCCCTGAGAGGTGCGAAGGATGCGGGTCCATGCCAGCCACATGTGCTCTTCTATGCGGTCGGGACTGACCTGCGAGTCAAAGAGCGGAAACTCGCGCTCTGAGCTGCGACGAGGAGCATCAGCATTCCAGTCGGAGAAGCAATTGAGCTCGGGGGCGTAGAAGTGGTAGGAGGGGCTGAGGTAGACGAGGTGCTCGCTGTACAAGGAGCGGAGTTCAGGGGGCGCGACGACCTTGTCAGCAAGCATGTAACGGACAGAGTCGCTCCCCATGGTGTCTGCAAACCTGCATAAGAGTCAGAGAAGTGAGACGAGTCTGGAGGCTGATGGACCCTTGAAAGTGCATGACAACTGGGGCGAGGTCGAGGGCGAGCAGACGAAACCGACTGCCGCGAGTGTGCCCTCCCAACTCAATCACAAGGTCCAGGCGCAGCTGCTGGATTTCTATCGCAGCCCTCTCGTCGTCTAGGTGGCCAACTCGAAGAAACACGTCGACTGTTTGCTCGACCTGGTTTGGTTTGTAAGATACATTCGAGAACAATGGAGAGGAGAGGAGAGGAGAGGAGAGGAGAGGAGAGGAGAGGAGAGGAGAGGAGAGGAGAGGAGAGGAGAGGAGAGGAGAGGAGAGGAGAGGAGACGCGTAGAGAGGGGAGATTGAAAAATGTTGTACAATGTAAACCAAGGATAGATTTAGGGTTTCGGAAGGAACACAGACGCCCATCATGAGAGCAAGAGGAACTCTCGTAAAACACCGCACGAAAGACTGGGGGAAAGGAAGCAGATCCCTGCCAGCACCTCTCTTGCAACATGATCGACATCCTGAGTCAAAGAGATCGCGAACACCTACAAGGAGTGAACGAGAGAGAGGGGGCGAGGAGAGAGCACGAGACCTGAAAGTCCTGAAGCCACGTCATCTCACTTCTCGCTGCCTTGAAAAAGTCGGACATGATGTACCCCATGGGGTGACTGCGAAAGTCGGCGGACAAGAAGCCGATCTTCAACTTTCTGATCGCAAACGTCTCAAGGTCCCTTATTCGTTCTCCATTCCTAGTAGTGCCTCGTCAGCTCGCATCGGAGCTCAACGACTGACAACCTCCGTAACCTTGACCCCAACGTCGATTCCACCATCCGGGTAGCAGCGAGTTGCTTGTCGAGGGTGAACTTTCTGTAGAAGAAAAGTCTGTCGAGAGGCGTCCCGATGTTCAACATCTGCACCATTGCAGTTACTCGAATGTCATCGCGAGTAGAGCAGAGGTCGCTTGTACAAGCAGAGTGAAAGGATTGACGGTCGGGGGCCGACCTTGTTTGACCTACACCAAAATCAATCTCTTCACGGTAACATATTTCAGTCATGGAACCTGCTCTGAGACCAGCCGGAGAATTTCTCGTCGACCCTCCTCGATGTTTGTGAAATTACAGACGATCATTTGCAGCTGCAGCCTCCTGACCTGGAAGACTCTCAGCATGAAAACCTGAAGGAGACAATCTGCACGTGGAGATCGCAGAAATTCGGATTCATTCTCAACCCAGCAGCCACAACTCCAAGTGCATGCTGATGCTCTCCGAGCTGTCGGTCAAGGCCCGTCATCTTCCAGGTAATGGAACGTTTGCTGCCTCTACCTGCCACGAAGCATGTGCGATATGATTCATTGCAATCAATGCGTTGTTGCCCGTCAGTCCGTCATTGAGAGCCTCTTGTAGGCTACAAGTTGTCATGAGGAGATGTTTGAAAAGCAGCGCCACTTACTATCTCTTGCACAGCTTCCACACAGCAGAAGTTTCATTCTTGATCCCACTTCGCGATTGAGTGACTGAAACAGCTGTATAGACGATACCTGTCCGCACTGGAAAAGTAGACCATTCCCAGCAGCTGTCAAGCTGTGTCATACTTCGGCGTGTTTACACAAGTATTATTTGCCAGCTTCGACTCCGGATTGTTATTTTCCAGCTTGATGGACTTGAGCAACATGGAGGCCTTTATGTTCAACTTCAGATTGGAATACTTTTGTCCGCTGATGTTACGGCAGCATCCCAGTCGTGAAGGTCCGACAAAGCCTTTCCTCTGCAAGGGGTCACTGAAAGCTTCGAACCGAATCAGTCTCAAACCTATGGAGATACATGTGAGCGTTGTCTACAAACACCAAGAGTCAGCCGATGAAAGGTCCAAACCACCGCCATCACTTGGATGCAATCTGATTCCTTTCTTCAGAACTCGCTCTGAATCTCTTGAACGGCCTTTCTCTTTAGTCACCCTAATCGTCGCTCAAGTACATCCCTACCCGCCAAGTGCAGAAACCATCCAGCTCCATTCCTTCCCCACGGCGTGAGAACTCAACTTAATCTGAAGAGAGTAGAAACGCTTGTGCCTGACACTCACCAAGCAGCTGTGTTGGTTGGATCCAGCTTGGTTGCTTTCACTGCGAACTTAGCAGCCTAGTTGTGACGTCAATCATGGATGACATGGTTTTCGTGTCGATACTTTCTCCCTTTCATTCAAATGATTGTAGCAGGAAGCCACGGCCAGTAACGGGGCTGAGATGTCTTCACGCACAAACACGTGTCAACAATACCCGGCAAGAAAGCTTCTTAGCTACCAGGCCGAATCTTCGCCTCTATCTTGAAATACGTGATAGCCTAGAAGCGAAGCTCAACCTCCTCCTCATCATCCTCATCAGTTGCAGTGCACCTCTTGGTATCTCTGCATATCCTGGAGCACCTGACCTAAGATAGTCTGAGCGACAGGACTCACGATCTGACCGAGTTACCCAGGTTGTGATAGGCCTCGAAATATTTTGGAGAAATTCTCGTCGCCTCCAGGAAGAATTCTATGAGACGACAAGGTAAAATTTTCAAGGGCATGAAATTCGAGACACCAGGTTTGAATACGTGTAGAAAATTTGAGATGAAGGAAAGTAAACACCTCTCGCAGCTTCTGACTTATGCAAGTTATGATGTGATATGTGCGCGAGGTTGTGGCAAGCGATGGAGTAGGGCTCCAACACACTGAAGCACAAGGTTTGCATCGCAAGGGTTGACCTCTCATCTACCTGCTGTCTCCATCATTCACCTTGTTCCGGAAAACCTCGATCGCTTGTTTGTATGCGGTTTCAGCTTCCGCATACCTGACAGCGGTAAGACATGATGTCATGGAGAGGATTTCAATAAGAGTCACCTTTGAGTCTGGTGAAGGTCGAAAGCTTCTTTGAGAGCATTCTTGAGGATCAGTCAGTGACTTGACTTGTTTGCTTCATGGGCATCACTCGTGTAGAATGCCGCTTCTTCTTCGCGCTCGTCAGGGCCAGCAGGAGCACGACCAGGAGCTTTCTTAACACTACCACCATCATTCATCAGCTCCTACGAGCTTCATCTCTCCATTACCCCGGCAAGGCAGTCCCTGACCCCCGACTGACTTCATGTCAAGAGACGCATGCGCTCTTCCACGGCGAGGAGGCATGCCTCGTGGCCGTCATGAAAGATCCGCACCTGCACTTGCAAGTTTGTACCACAACAGCGACAACCGATCACTTGCAAGTTTGTGCCACAACAGCGACAACCGATCACTTGCAAGTTTGTACCACAACAGCGACAACCGATCACTTGCAAGTTTGTACCACAACAGCGACAACCGATCACTCTCAGATAGGAAACTTGTCTGCAGAAGTCTTCATGTCTCTTGTTCCATCATCTTCCTCTCTTCTTCTCCCCTCTGTTCCTCGCCCTCCCCACCTCCCTCCCCTATCCCGCCATGCTCTTGGAGCTGATCTGCCTGGGTTTGTGGGATCACTCATCGCCCTCCTTCCCAACCAAACAGATAGTGAAGCAGTAGTGAAGATTCAGTAGAAGATTTCCGACATGGCGGAGTAGCTACCAGTGTGAGCAGAAGAGAGGAAGAGAGGACACGAGAAGACGAGGAGAAGGGCTGAGATCGAGGTGACGGCAGTCAATCAGTTGTGAAGATGATCATGCGAGAGTTATGCTTCTCTTGCCGCTCAGTGTGAGCTCAGCCTCGAGTTGTGAATCTTACTTCAATCTTTGCAGATGAGCATTTAATGATGTAACCAGACTTGTCAGCCGCTGAGGTTGTTTTGAGGCAACAAGAGGCTCAATGGGCAAGTACAGACAAGTGAAAGAACGTGCAAAGCTGCAACAGAAGAAAGAGAGGAACAAGGTAATGGCGACCCTGAGAGGAATCATGCTGAGAGTATGTGTTCAGCGATTGGCGGAAGAAGGGAAGTTCTCAAGTGACGACGAAGAAGTAGCAGGAAACAGCGGGCTTGTTCTCCTCAAGGTGATTGAGGCCGTGAAGACGTTGGTCACCCGTGTTTGCAGTACATGAAGAAAGACTCGCAAGAGGAAGCCATCATCGCTGAGTTCCAGCATGTCCTTCAACAGCCCGTGGACCTTCCGAGCCACGAGGGTCCAAGTTTGCGGTCGTTTACAGAGAATCTCGACTTTGCGCCTTGGAAGGTGACCAGTCGCTGCTCGACCAGCACTTCTCACTTCCAGATGCCTCAGGTTGAAGCTGATTTCGAGCAAGAGGCCGCACGGATCGCGAGTCAAGCAGCTGAGAAAGTTGAACAAAAGGTGGCTCATACGCTGAATAAGATCCAGCTGGAGAGCTCAGAAGTGATACTGTCCCACCTGCACATTCATGACCCTCAAGGTTTGGACTTGGTTGTCGCCGGCCTAGGTCAACGTCTGCCTTTTAGTTCCGAGCATACTCCAGCATGTCAAACGAGCGACGAGCCTGACCAAGCTTGACATGTCAATGAACGCGATCGGGAGCGAAGGAGCGAGCGGCTTAGGAGCATTTTTGCGTGAGAGAAGAAACAGAATCTCTCTTGTTGACTGACCAACCATCACACTCAGAGACATGTTCCACCCTCGTAAGCTTGAATCTAAAGGGCAACAAGTTGCGCAATGACGGAGTGCGTGAGCTGCTGACAGCGAACTTCGATCATCCGGTCTCTCACCCTCTCCCTCTCCTCTGCTCTTTTCCTCATCAAGTCTGATCTTGCAGACCTTGCGAGAGTTGGTCCTCGACAGCAACGGCATAGGCCCTGCGTTCCCCGAATGTCTAGGGAGGATGACGTCACTGAGACTGCTAAGGTCGTTGCTGTCTCTCTCTGTCTTGATGACGTGCTCGTCCTCAGCCTGCGCAACAACTCCTGCAGTGACTTTCCCGTTCACCTCCTCGAGCTCATAGAGCGCGTCGACTTGCATGGCAATGCCGACCTGGTGCTGTTTCCTTCTTACCCTCCACCTCGTCAAGCGTGCGCAGGACCGGCTGCTTATGGACGCGCTCGAGGAGCAGGAGGTCAGAGCTGTCTGGTCGCCGGGCTTGATTGACGTTGGACGCAGAGAGAGTTGGAAAGAGCAGCTGGGCGTGCGTCGCTGATCAAGGGCATCGAGCAAGCAGAGGAGCTGTGAGGGTGGAGGAGCAGCGACATGCAGGACTGACTGGTTCAGCAGCCTCAAAGAGAAAGACTTCGAAGCTGCCATGGTCTGCCTTGCGCGTGCTCGGAAGCAGGCTGGGGAGGAGGCAGGAGAGCCCGAGCTCCTCCGGCGTCTTGAGGAAGTAGAGGAGGAGGCGAGAGATATGCAGAAGTCGCTGGGAGGGCAGAGGAAGGCAGCGTCGCACGAGGACCTTATGCTCCGGGTCACGCTGCACACAGCGATGCAGAGGATCCGAACCGGCGCCTCCTTTCTCAGCTTGCGCGGGAGCCGCGTGAGCGACTCGGACGTGCAAACTTTAACTCAAGCCATGCAGGGGGATCACTGCAGGGTGTCTCAGCTGGACTTGAGCCAGAACGAGCTAAGCAGCGCAGGAGTAGAGAAGCTGAGAAGCGTGCTGGGCCACGACTCTATCATAGAGAGACTGTGGCTAGGTGGAAACAAGTTGCATGACACGGGCGCGACGAGGTTGGCGGAGGTTCTGCAAGGCAACGAGAGTCTGGTCGCTCTTGACGTCTCCTCGAATCAGCTGGGGCCTGATGGCTGCCTACGCATCGCCCATGCCCTCATGTACAACCCAATGCTGCGCGAGCTCGACCTCTCGGACAACCAGCTGGGCGATGAAGCTTCCGGTGAGATCTCGCGCTACCTCGGGAGGCTCCGGAACCTCCAGGTGGTGAACGTTGCTAGTTGCGGCCTCTCAGCTGCGGGAGTCTTGGGCTTCATGGCAGCCCTGCAGGAGAACGGGACTCTCGTCCGATGTTGAGGGTTTAAAGGTTGACTACAAGTAGAAGTATAGACAAACAAAGCTCATGAGGGAATGAAGTGCCAGCCCTTCCCGTCCTCCTCCGACCCATCGTCTGACGGGATGGCGTCAGATGCAAGGGGCGACATCAAGCCGAAGCGTCGCTTACCTCCTCGCTTCAGCAGCAGCATTTCCAAGTCAGGCTCGCTGATAACCTCCTTGTTCACGTCATCCAGAGACTGCGAACGCTCAGGGCTCGAGGTCAGGGAGTTATTTAACCGTTACCTTGGGCTTCAGCAACTCAACCAACTCGGTCGAGCTGATCGACTGTCGGATCTCAGTCAAGTTCTTCACCTAGACACAAAATCAAACGAGGGACGGCACATCTCATGTCATACCAAAGAACGCTTGTCTTCCTCGGAAACAGCCTGACCGGCAGCCTGTAGCTGGTTGATGTCGGCAGCGTGTTCAACTTTGTCGGACACTTTGAATCGTTTCCTTGCAATAGCCACCAACTCCAGCTTGCGCTTGTTGCTTGCTCTCTCGAAAATCTTTGATTCCACACTTTGGACTGTGATGAGACGGAAGACACTGACTGGTTTTGTCTGTCCGATACGGTGACAGCGATCCATGGCCTGAAGGTCTTGTTGCGGATTAAAGTCTCCATCGTAGATGATGACGGTATCTAGTAGAACAAGACGTGAGCGAGGCTTGAAGTCAACAACCATTCACTCATCCACCTGCCGTCGTCAGATTGATCCCCAGCCCTCCAGAGCGCGTTGAAAGCAAAAACACGAAAGAGTTTGACGTCGGCGAGTTGTAGTCATCCATCAGCGACTACAAGCAAGTCAAATCTTAATGCAAGCTGACCAATGCTGTACCTGTCTGTCTTTCCAATTCACAGTCCCGTCAATGCGGTGGGAGGGCCATCCCCGAAGCTCGAGATAATCTTCCAGCAGGTCCAACATCTTTGTCATCTACAAAAACATCTCAGAGACAGCAACAGACGGTTCTGCCCTCACCTGACTAAAGATGAGCACCTTGTGTCCATTCTTCCTCAAAATAGTCAACATTCGGTCCAACAGCTGCAGCTTCCCAGCAGATTTGACAAGTCGCTCATCCACCACGATGTTGCCTAATGAATCGAAAGGGGCTGTAAAAAGATAAGGGTGGTTGCAGTTCTTTCTCATTTGCATAAGGACGTTCATAAGAGACATCGCCTTGTTGTTTACAGCGCCTTGTCTTTCCCAATTTCCATCTGTAACTTCAAACTCCGTGATTTGCTCCGACAGGAATGAGTCAAGGCTCTTGTCCGCAATCGATTTGTTGATTTTTTCTTGAGATTCAGTGAGTGGTGCCATCAGGATGTATTCTCTTTTCTTCGGAAGGTTGATCAAGACGTCGGTCTTGAGGCGTCGAAGCAAGAAGGGATCCAAGATAGCATGGAGTTTAGAGACTGTCTTGTTCTTACTCTCTTCTTCAATGATTCTTGCCGTTCCTTTCTCAGCATGGAGCTCTTCATCAAAATCGAACCAAGTCTGGAATGTTGCAAGGTCCTGGAAGATGTCTGGCAAGATGAAATGGAGCAAGGACCAGAGCTCAGTCAGATTGTTTTGGAGAGGAGTTCCACTCAACAAGAGCCGGTTGTCGGAGTTAAGACTTTTCAACTCTCGGAGCAGTCTGCAATCCTTGTTTTTCAGGCGATGTCCTTCATCTACAATCAAATATTTCCAGTTTAGATTCGCCAACTTCTTTGCATCGTTCATTGCTACTTCGAATGAGGTGATGATCACAGGAAAGCTCTTGCTTGGAGGATGCTTGACCTTGTTTTCAAACCCAATCTGCTCTCTGAGCGCCCTTCGTTCCTCCTTGCTCCCATGATAAAGCACTGTTTCAATCGATGGTGTCCATCTCGCAAACTCTCGTTGCCAGTTCGTCACAGTGCTCAATGGTGCAACGATCATGAACGGGCCTTTCACTCCCATACTGTACAAGTGTGCCAGAAAGGAAACTGATTGAATGGTCTTCCCCAACCCCATCTCATCCGCGAGGATTCCATTCAATCCATTTTCATAAAGAGAGCATATCCACATCATGCCTTCAATCTGATACTTGCGCATAACTCCGCCTGTCACCATTTTGGGTTGGCGAGGATCCCTTTCTTCATCATTCCCTTTTGCGCTGCCTGTGGGACCGGACTTGGAGTTATCGTTATCCTGATGAACTTCCCTCATGCGTTCTCTCAGGAAAGCTGTGTACGCTGCTGCCTTCTGAAGCAGGTTATCTAACAGGGCAACCTTCTCCTTCATCCCTACTTTTTTGCCTTTGCTACGCTGCTTTTGGATTCGAAGGTCATTCTCTGCACGGAGCTTCCTCTCCTCTTCGGCCCAATCAGCGTCAGCACCGGCATCATCCGTATCCTGCGAATCCTCGTTGTCGTCGTCTTCTTTCAGTTTTTCCTCGTCATTTTCCTCAGTTTTCTCTTGAAACTCTCCTTCGAGAGCTCGTCCGTCCTCGACAGCCACCACCTCCACCTTTTCCTCGGGTTTCCTCTTGGAGTCTGCCGGTGTCGAGGCTGTGCTGAGGTTTGCTGACAGAGTGGAGTCATCGACAGTGATCTCCGGTTTCTGCTTGTCTTCTTCCTTTGCAAAGAACTTCTTCAGTCCACTGGAGCTGCCGAAACAACTGAAATCAGACATCTCGAATGCTTTAGCGACTAGTCACCTTGTATTCTTACACTCCGCACTCGCTTGTTTTCTGCTGCGCGTAGCCCTGGCCGTGGGCATTGCAAGCTGCTGCAGACCAGTGTCAACTCTCTGCGCGCACAAGAGCATATGATTGTGAGATACTCTGCGGAAAGCTAGCCCTCAAAGTATTGCCCTGTAAGCTATATCCTGTCTTCGATGTTTCATATGCCTAAGGATATGATATTCATCTTCCATGAATGTACTTGTGCACCCTGCTCTGAACGATCGTTTTTTCACTATGCAATCAACAAGCGCCTTGAGAACAAATCATTTTCTCGTGTCATGAATACTTCTCCTGGATCTCGCCCATGAGTGCCATTCCTCCCCTCCCCCGCCATTCCTCCCTCCTCCGCCATTCCTCCTCTCCTCCGCCATTCCTCCCCTCCTTTCCTCCCTTTAGTTGTCTGGCACGCTTGTTTCCCGCGCTTTTGACCACCCCTACACCGACCACCCTGTCATTTCCCAGTCTAAACACCGGTCTAACAGGTAACCTCTGACGCCCATCAGGATACCCGGCAGTACTACTCTCACTTCAGTGACGGCCGGGTCCGGCGGGCCCGGCGAGGTCCGGGCCGACTGTTTCCAGCCTTATGCCGTGAACAACGATTCGCAAGCTCGTGACCTGCTGATTCCATCGTGACTAGTGGTAGTTTACTACAACGCTTCAGATTGCGGAAGTATCTGAGTCTCTCTTACCTATTGAATACCACAGTTTTTCATCCCCGCGCCGCAGCAATGTCACGCGGGAGCTGACGCAAAGAATCAGCAGCAGAATACTCTAGAAGCCCAGATATCGCGACAGAGGGAACAGAACTCCGAGCCACCCGCAGGGTGGTAACTTTTCTCTGGGAAATTTGGGGGTGGGGGTGGGGGCTGTGCAGAAAGGTCACAACACCTGAGCCTCCCATGCGATCGAAGAGATGCGGACGGAAAGTCCTCGAGATTTTCAGAGGACTCATACCACCGGTACTTTGTGTGGGAAAATTGAGGTGGGGGCTATGGAAAGGTATTAACAAAAGGCCTCCGTGACTGCTGACTGTCATCACGGATCAGTCACGCGGACTTCCTCTTTAAAACCTTACGAGACTCCCCTCGCTTCTCATCTGTGGCTGCTTGCACACGCACAAAGTGAAACCAAGAGCGTTTTCCCTCGAGCTACTCGCGTCACCCGATATCTTGTCTTCTGCTTCCTGCGTAGTACTTATTCCCAAACCTTCCCAAAGCTGCTCTTTCGAAGGCTTCTTGCTCCTTAAATCCTGAAACAGACATCGATGTCAGACTCTGAAAGCGTTGCAAGCTGCTCTCACAGCAGCGAAATTGTTGATTCTCCCGAAACTCTGAAGACGACAGATACAGTTTTCGTGGTGCCAAGACGGAAAAGAAATGACCCTCCATCAGATGGACATCGCAAGGCAGCAATTGCTTTGACTCCGAAACAAATCATCAAGCTATACACCATGCAGCAGCGAGAGGCCGCAGATTTCCTGGTAAGAAGTGTTTCGAAGTGAGATTTTATGGATCTGACAATTGGGACAGGGCATATCCTTAACGGCTCTCAAAGTTGCATGTCGGCGAATGGGGTTGCCCAAATGGCCTTACATTAGAAAAGCCAGTGCGAAGGGATCCAACACTTCGGACGACGAATCTGCAAGAACCCCAGGTTCCGATGCCGAAAGCAGCTCTGTGGTCTCTGAAAGACTGTGGTGGCCGATTGACTCATTGCAAGACAAGCATAAGCTCGCGTTTAGGGATCAAGAGATCCTTGAGCGCAGCCTCACAAGTTGGGGCCTGAGTTCCGTAGGCCAAGCATTGTGGATGGATGAGGCTTTGAAACACTGCGAGTTTCCTTAGATAGATTTTTGTTCTGATATTGTCCTGCTTAAATGAAGTTTTGTTGAATATCGAGATGAGTTTTCGAGGTGTATTCCAACTTACCAACACATTTCCAAGTTCGAGGTCCAGATCAAACACGGGTATTTCGTTACATGATCAAGGTTAAGAGATGTTGATGTTAAACTAGGAAAGATTTGTTGTATGCAATGACGAAAGACAATCAATCACGCAAGTCAAAGGTTCTCACCTGCAGGATTCCGGTTTTTGCTGATTCTTTACAAGCGCAGTAAAACCCGCCATGCTGTGTGCTTTTGTTCCAAGACTGATAGTATGATAGGACAAAGGACAGGAGTAGAGATGTGTTTCACGTGCTGCTAGGAAAACGGCTCAAATTCTCAGTGAGAAGTACTGCTCAACATGCTATGTTACAGTAAATGCAGCAATGATCGTTCTAGTATTCTCATTACTCTCACAGGTGGATGCGTACAACATCTCAGGATCAACGAACGCGCAGCTCACACTTTGATAGTCCAAATGTGAAAAATTTGAGCGTGGTGTCAGTTTGTATCCTGAAGATACAACCCGCACAAACAGGGCGACACTCAGAACGGAAGAAATGAAATGCCGGCAACACTCTTTTTCTTCACTCCAGTTGGACACTTCCGGGATCCCGGTGCGACTGAAAACCTTCATTTCTCCGGCAGACCTTTCATCAACGCTAGAGGGGGGGTCTTCTGACTGCATTCCAAGTGCTGGAGTCTTTTACGCGCTCGTCTCTCTTAAACTGACGCTCTGTGTATTACAAGCTCAGGCCTGTACAAACATGATTTTCATAAAAGATTCAGGACATAGCGATGATGATAACAGGATCACTTTCATGAACTCCAAGGATGTCCTTGGAGTTATCCTTGGAGTTCATGATATCAATAGGATATCAATATCTCGAACACCCCCGATGATAGCGCTCTTCTCTTGGTATGTACTCGTCTTCTTGCTTTTTTTTCCCTTTCTCAATCTTCCAGAAATTTCTAGAGCAGGCGTATCGAACTGTAGCAAAGCTGTAGCAGATCCTTCAGTCTGGGCCCGGCGGGCCGCGGCTTTTATTAGAGTCACGGGCCGCTCGGCTTCAGGAGTCCTGCTCTGAGTTCACCGGAACCCGGCGGGGACTCCTACTAAAGAAGTCAGCCTACTGTCTTATATAAACTTGTCAGTGTAGAAAACTTCTTGTGACGACTGGATATAGAGTCGTAGAAGTAGAGCCGATGACTGTTTGTCTGGCATACTTCAAGGCTTGTTTTGAGAGTTTACACGTTTTGACTGAGCAGTGACAGACCGTACCGTGATAGGTTGCCGCCAAAACTAGTCGGTAACGTGATATTTTCAAATATCTGCTGAAAATTGTTGAATTTTTGGGGGTTTAACTGGTTTCATCGTGTGACCTGCTGACAACTGTTAAGACCAGGGATGAAATATCATGTCAGCGCCCCCCTGTCGTCGTGATTGTTTTTCTCCTGCCCCCCCCCGCACCCTTCTTAATTCTCCCCTGCTAGCTTTTGCGACAGAAGCTTCCTGTGCGGTTGTACCTGACTGTCCTGTCTCAAAGATTCACATCAATTTCATTCCGCATCATATCACTGTCACACTACAGTAGAAACCTTCCATCCCATTTGTATCCAAACACGAGAAATCAAAAAAAGGTTTGAGGCCTCCGCATCATGCTGCAGCACATTTCTTCTAGCCAGTGTATTGAAACAGCAAATCCTGCTACTATAGCACTCACGCATATCAATGGAGGACAGCTTGCAAATGAATCTTTCTCGAAAAAACGGATGGAGCCTTTCATCACCATCCTCCCTCGGCGCAGGAAAGGCTCCCCTCTTCCTCACGCTGACCCCGTCAAGCGCCCCGTCTTCCTCACCAGCAAGGACATCTTGGCGCTCTTCCACATGCAGCAAAAGTCTGCCGCCGACAAGCTGGTAGGCCAGGCCCTCGTGCCCCTATCCCCTCCTCGCTTCCCCGCTGACTGCTCGTGCCGCAGGGGATCTCGCTGACGGCCCTGAAGATGGCGTGCAAGAAGCTGGGGCTGCCGCGCTGGCCCTACATGAGGACAGGCCCAGCAGAGGCGGAGAAGGAGAAGGAGGGGAAGGGGAGGTGGGCGACGACATCGCTGGAGCTGGGGGAGCTGATGGAGGATGCGATGAGGCACTGTTGTGAGGAAGAAGATTGAGAGGAAGAGCAGCTTCAAGTATAGTTTGTTTCATCTGTACAGTACTTAGCATATATCTTTAACACTTCATCTTCAATGTGTGGAATGAATTACTATGTCATGAAATTCAAGGATGGGAAAGGATAGCATTGGAGCTGTTCCGAGGCTCTGTTTTCTGGATCATTGCCGCTGAGTGCGTTGGCAAAGAATTCGGCCGCCACTTGTCATCGTACACTGTGAAAACAAAGTGACACATTAGTAATCCCTTTCAAATCATTGCAATTTTCGGACTGGCATCTGTTGAAGTGCCTCGCGGCAAGTCACTGAATATTTAGATGTAAGTAGAACTTCGGAACCGTTGAACCAGGCTGCCAACGTTCCGAAGTTCCGCCATCGGTGACCCGGCCAATAACGGTCACGGTTAGTTATCTGAAGTCACCGTCAACACCGGAAACGGAAGTTCCCGAGTTCAGTTCCGAAAGAGAACATCCGGTGGCACTGCTGGCCAAACTTGACTCGAAACTTGAAACTTGACAACTGAAACTTGAAGTTTATTGCCAGTCGTTGGACTCCGCCGCGCTGGGCCGGGCCGCGGCCGGGCCGCCGGCCGCCGGGCCCCCGGGCACTGCCGCGTGACTGCTCACCGGCCGCCCGGGCCATGGCCGGATACCGTACCCGGCCACGGTAACGGAAGTTCCGATCGGACGGCCGCCGAGTCAGTCGGCCGTGATCGGACTTGCAAGTTGAACTCACTCACCGTAGTCAAGCAACGGTTGTGAAACCCGCACCGCCGTGCCCCGCGTCCGAGTCCGACCCGGTCACGGTGTGAAGTTTACTCAAAGACGGTTAAGTAATAGATCAGCACGGTGACCGGGGCGCCGCGCGTTACTAGTTAGGCTCGCCGCCCGGCTGGCCCACGGTGGGCCGGGCCTGGCCGGGCGGGCCGGCGGCGGGCCGGCAACCGGACTCCGATGCCGCCAGCCCCAGGAGTCCCGGGCCGCGAGCCGCAGCTTCCGGCGCTGCCTGTGTGACACCGGTCACTTTAGGAATGGAACGAGTGGTAGGGGTGGTCTCCGTGTGTTGTACCTCGTGACCGTGACTTAAGTACCCTCGTATCTCACGCCTAGTAGACCTCCTTCAGCACCTTCAGCTCCTCTTGGACGGGACCCGCTCACGTTTGCTACAACGTCTCTTCCCCAAACATCCCTCACTGCCCTCCCGCCTCTTGCTGCCCCATAGCCTTAAGGTTTCCTTGTATCCATCTCTCCGACCCTCTCCATCCTCCCTCATTCCACGTACCTTCCCCTACGTCTCTGTATTCAAGGGATGCTCTTAGATGTAAACTCATTCGCAAGAGACTACAGCGTGCATGAATCAAATCCTCAAGAGCAAATGTGCTTGAGCACAACCAACCGCAATCAAAACGAAGAAGCCGCTCAGAAAGGCTCCTGTGTCACCATCCTCCCTCGGCGCAGGAAAGGCTCCCCTCTTCCTCATGCTGACCCCGTCAAGCGCCCCGTCTTCCTCACCAGCAAGGACATCTTGGCGCTCTTCCACATGCAGCAAAAGTCTGCCGCCGACAAGCTGGTAGGCCAGGCCCTCGTGCCCCTATCCCCTCCTCGCTTCCCCGCTGACTGCTCGTGCCGCAGGGGATCTCGCTGACGGCTCTCAAGATGGCGTGCAAGAAGCTGGGGCTGCCGCGCTGGCCCTACATGAGGACGAGCCCAGCAGAGGCGGAGAAGGAGAAGGGGAAGGGGAAGGAGAAGGAGGGGAGCCAGTGGGCGACGACATCGCTGGAGCTGGGGGAGCTGATGGAGGATGCGATGAGGCACTGTTGTGAGGAAGAGGATTGTTAACACTTCAATGATTGAGAGGATGCGCAGTATAGTTAGTGGTACTTCAAGTACAGCTAGTTGGCGAGACATTGTTGGGACTAGAAGCGCATGTTGTCGAAGCTGAGGAGGATTTTTGGAAGGAAATAACGACCTTTGTACATTTTGGAGGCAAACAGGTCAAGTAAGTTTTCATCGTTCTTGATTGAAATAAAACAAAAGGACAAACATCAAAGAGCATTTCAAAGAGAAGAGAAGCAAGATTGCATGTGACCGTGTGCATGCGATCTCATAGACGTCAATGATGCAAGTCAGACATTCCTTTTCAACAGATTCACTACCACATCTACACTCACTCGCATTGGGCCATCCTACGGAATGTTTGAATCATTGAAAGGCTGTGCGAACAAGAAGAAAAAGGGCAGGGGCACCTGGCGAGCCTGTCTGACGGAGTGACCGATATATCGCAACTGCAGCTTGTAGGCCATGACAGCATAGACGATATTGATCTCTGACCCTGCACGTCAAGCATCAGGAACGTGAAGGGTACTTCAAGCAGAAGAATGCTCTCCTGCCACAAGACACTCGACTACCAACGTCAAAGGCTTGCAGACAACCTGAAAGTTGGGTCAGGAACAAGCTCCCTTGCTGCCCTGCTGCTGTTGCTGCACCATGTTCGACAGGCCCGCACCGTGTGGAGCCAACACCTTAAGATCGTCATGATCTTCCGACCATCATGGGCAGGTCACATACCGCACGAGCGTCACGGAAGATGGCAAGCTGAGAAGAGAGCGGCAGGTTCTGGTTGTGCTCGCGAATGTCACATGCCGGCAGCTCTCGACCTTGACCGCACGTGTCAGCCGCTGCAGCAGGGTCGAAGGAGCCGCACGTGCAGTCAGCATCAACTCGTCGTGGTTGAGGATCTGACGAGCTACACCTTTCCTCTTGAGAAGCACGACTGAGCACTTGTCGCTGAATCATGTCAGGCCCCTGCTGCTGCGTCCCCTTGTCGATCTTCACCTTCTCGGATGCACCGCAATTTGAGGACTGGCAAGCAGCGTCTTTCTGAGCAGATTTCTGCACCCAAGTCAGCAGGATGCGTTGAACTGGCTGCTCGTACAGCATACTGGCAGGACATCGAGCACAGGGCACAGGCTCAGGGACGAGCGCGAGCGATGCAAAGATGCTGCCGCTGACTGGAGGAAGTAAACGTTCATGACTGCACGACTTCTGTGAGACTAACCGATCTTGTTGGCCTTGACGCCCATGAGAGGAAGCACAAGACGTGAGACTCTGCTACGCATGACATGGACATGCCAGCCGAGCTCCTTCTGCTCCTCCAGCAGCCTCGTCACAAGCGCAAGCCTGCAAACATCAGGGATATGCTGTAAGGGAGCAGGAGGGGGAGGTGAGACACGGCAAGGGATCACCTTGGAAGGCACTCGATCATGAAGTGATAGTAGTTGTCGCCCCAGTACTGACTTGTTGCCTCAGGAAAGCTCATGTACGATTCAAAGGATGACCTGGGAGATTACGATGACGCGGTGGAGGTGGGGGAGGCCGAGGCGATGGAGGAAGTGAGCTGCACGAGTGCTGACAATCTTACAACCTTTGAGGACTAGCAGTGTCCTTTTCGTCGCAGAATCAATCTGAATCTACCACATGACAGTTAGAGCATTCCCTCTCTCCCTCCCTCGCTCCCTCGCTCTCCTTCCACTTCCTCGTTCGCTTTCTCCTTGCCCACTTCCCCCCCTCCCCCCTCCCCCCTCCCTTCCCGCATTCAACTGCTTCCTCCGTCCCTCCGTCCCTCCGTCCCTCCCTCCTCTTTCCTCTTCGTCTCTCACTTGCCCGTGGGTGTGCACAATCACGTCGCTGAGAGTAGCGACGCCGGGGAGCGTCTCCGGCATCATGGGGTAGTAGGAGAGAGAAAGAATACCTCGCCCCTCCTGCTGGTTCACCTGTGCTCTTCCCAGCTCTTGAAAGGTGGGCTCGTGGTGGGCAACCAGGTCCCTGACAACATGGTGCGACAGACGGAAAGCTGGGATCTTCCACAGCTGGATCGTGTGATTGATCCAATCCTCGTTGTCCCCTCGGGTGACATTGACCCAAGTCCTCGGTCCCGTCACGGAGAAGCCCAACGCCTTGAGCCTCTGCGAGAAATCTTCATCCCTCTCTATAACAATCCTCTCCTCCGCCAGCGGCTGTCGTCTGTTTGCTACGAGCAACACTCTGTTCTCAGACATGTTGCTTCCAGCTTCTGCTGGATTTATTCTCGATCTCCAATGGGATGTTGAAGGGGAAGTCGCCAAACTAGCGTTTCTTGTCGGCGAATTGCGAGCAGTAGTGCGAGGAAGCTCATGGGGAAGTGTTTCAATTGGATCCATGAAGGAGAGGAGGGCAGGGAAAAGAATCAAGATCCCGAGCACAGCCATCAGACCGATGAAAAAGACCAGCGTCTGGTAGCGCGTCATCGGAGCTCTTGCTTGCCTGCTCATCTCTGCCATCTCGAGCGATGGAAAGTGACTTGTTTGACCTGTTCAACGACACGTCATAGCTGCTTCTGCCCACTGGTCACCGACCAGTCTGCATTGAGGCTGGCCTCCAAGTAATCGAAGAGGCAGGCCGTCACATTCACGTCCAGGTCTGCTGTAAGACTTCGAACTCAGTAGCATGATACCTGCAAAGTCCGAGAAAGTTATTCCATAGTACATGTGATGATGGAGATAATGATAAGGATGAGGGTGTAGATGATGATGGTGATGGTGATGGTGGTGATGATGGAGATCAACATGCTGGTGGTGGTGGTGGTGGTGGTGGTGGTGGTGGTGGTGGTGGTGGTGATGATGATGATGATGGTGGTGGTGGTGGTGGTGGTGGTGGTGATGATGATGATGATGGTGGTGGTGGTGGTGGTGGTGATGATGATGATAGTGGAGGAGATGATGATGATGATGATGATGGCAGAGATGACGATGACGATGATAGTGGAGGAGATGATGATGATGAT